ATAAAACTTACAAAAGTTGTCACAAATTTCACACATAACTACTCTGTCCAATAGTTTAGGATTGAGGGATGTATTTCTGGTCAATATTCAGCTCCAAGGGACCAAGTTAAAGCAAACTGGGCGAAGAAGATTCTCATACATTTCTACGTTTGTTAAAACTTGAAGTGCCCTTCCTTTTGTGTCTGCAAATAATAAAAATTCTTTAAAATAGGTGGTTGAAAAGAAAACTAAACCATACATTCAAGTTGATATTGGAGGTGGCCAAACAAAGACATTTGCTCCTGAAGAAATATCCGCTATGGTTCTCACTAAAATGAAGGAAACCGCTGAGGCTTATTTGGGAAAGAAGGTAAGTGTCTCCAGAATAGTGTTAAGTAATTTTATTATTACTATGATTGATTGAGTTATATAAATGCCTTCATTGTCTTAATAATTTGAATCTGAATGACATCTTCTATCAGTTTTAATTACTTGTATAATTTCCTATAGGCCAAACAAAATGCTAGGGACTTTTCCCTGGTATAAAACTGTATATATTATGCCCATCTTAAAAATAAGCTGGCTTAGGAGCTAAAGTAGTGGTTTGACTATAACTTCTGGGTAAAGCCATATGATAAAATACGCTTAGTTACCTTTTGTTATCCTTTTAGGTTACCCACGCAGTTGTTACTGTACCAGCCTATTTCAATGATGCCCAACGCCAGGCAACCAAAGATGCTGGAACTATTGCTGGGTTGAATGTCATGAGGATCATCAATGAGCCGTAAGTGTTACATTCAAAGGTATGGCATATTTGCTAAGTAAGGAAAATGTAAACTTAATGGAACTTTTTTTTTTCTTCTTACTCTCCTAACAGTACAGCAGCTGCTATTGCTTATGGCCTGGATAAGAGGGAAGGGGAGAAGAACATCCTGGTGTTTGACCTGGGTGGTGGAACCTTTGATGTGTCTCTTCTCACCATTGACAATGGTGTCTTTGAAGTTGTGGCCACTAATGGCGATACTCATCTGGGTGGAGAAGACTTTGACCAGCGTGTCATGGAACACTTCATTAAACTCTACAAAAAGAAGACTGGTAAAGACGTTCGGAAGGACAACAGAGCTGTGCAGAAACTCCGACGAGAGGTAGAAAAGGCCAAACGGGCCCTGTCTTCTCAACATCAAGCAAGAATTGAAATTGAGTCCTTCTATGAAGGAGAAGACTTCTCTGAGACCCTGACTCGCGCTAAATTTGAAGAGCTAAACATGGTATGTTCCTTGTTTCTTTGCTAATGAGATCTAATGAGATTCTCTCGCATTTGGGGCATTGCATTTAGAAGTCTAGACTATCTCAATATAGCAGGTATCATCATCACAGTAATTAATGTCTCTCTTTCTAGGACCTCTTCCGCTCTACCATGAAGCCTGTCCAGAAAGTGCTGGAAGATTCTGATTTGAAGAAATCTGATATTGATGAAATTGTTCTTGTTGGTGGCTCTACTCGTATCCCAAAGATTCAACAACTGGTTAAAGAGTTCTTCAATGGCAAGGAGCCATCCCGTGGCATAAACCCAGATGAAGCTGTAGCGTATGGTGCTGCTGTCCAGGCTGGTGTGCTCTCTGGTGATCAAGATACAGGTAGGTTGATGTCACAAGCATCTTCCACATTGCTTCAGCAGCTTGATGGGAAGAATATAATTAGCTGTTGCTTTAGAAAGCAATAAAACATGAACAACAAGGTCACAGAGGTAATAAAGGGTACAGAAAGGAGGGCAAGACTTTGTTACGGTTTCAAGGTCCCTTGCAGTGTTTAATTCACTGCTTCTAAACTGGTTTTGCATAGCACCCAACCAGATAGCAAGGTGGAGGAGGTAAAGTTGCATTGTTCACAGGGAGATTGCTTGGTGTAGTGCTCTTATGGCTCTTTAATTAGAACGACCTCTGTGTTACCTTTGCAGGTGATCTGGTATTGCTTGATGTATGTCCCCTAACGCTTGGTATTGAAACTGTGGGAGGTGTCATGACCAAACTGATTCCTAGGAACACTGTGGTGCCCACCAAGAAGTCACAGATCTTCTCTACAGCCTCTGATAATCAGCCAACTGTTACAATCAAGGTTTATGAAGGTAATTGCATACATTTGTTAATGCCATGGTGTGCGTGTTAACAGCATGACTTCTTGCTTAATATACTCTATTAAAAAGACCAGGGAAAGAAATAGCTGCTTTTTTCAGTAGTGGGTCTCTATTTTGACTAGAGTTGAGTTTGGTATAGTCAGCATTAAAATCCAGATCTTATCCAAGTATTGTAGTACTCCTCATTAAAAATAATTTTTTGAGCTAGCTCTAGAATACAAGAACAAAAGGGTTCGTGTAAAGTAGGTGACATTTAGTTGAGTTCTAGTAACTTAACTCACTGTTAGTCTCATTTGTTGCTCCTTACAGATCAGTGACCCACTTCTAGCTTGATGAGAGAGCCCCAGCCACTGTAGGCTCTGACAGACTGAAATGCAGGGATGCAGGTTGTACTCATTCTTTCAGTAACTAACAAGGTTTTTGTATACAACTTATAGGTGAACGACCCCTGACGAAAGACAATCACCTTCTGGGAACTTTTGATCTGACTGGAATTCCTCCTGCTCCCCGTGGGGTCCCACAGATTGAAGTCACCTTTGAGATAGATGTGAATGGCATTCTCCGAGTGACAGCCGAAGACAAAGGTACAGGCAACAAAAATAAGATCACAATTACCAATGACCAAAATCGCCTGACACCTGAAGAAATTGAAAGGATGGTTAACGATGCAGAGAAGTTTGCCGAAGAAGACAAAAAGCTCAAGGAGCGCATTGATACCAGAAATGAATTGGAAAGTTATGCCTATTCTCTAAAGAATCAGATTGGAGATAAAGAAAAGCTGGGAGGTAAACTTTCCTCTGAAGATAAGGAGACCATGGAAAAAGCTGTAGAGGAAAAGATTGAATGGCTGGAAAGTCACCAAGATGCTGACATTGAAGATTTCAAAGCTAAAAAGAAGGAACTAGAAGAAATCGTGCAGCCAATTATCAGCAAATTGTATGGAAGTGCAGGCCCTCCCCCAACTGGTGAAGAGGAATCAGCAGACAAAGATGAGTTGTAGACACTGCCCTGCCAGTGCTGTAATATTGTAAATACTGGACTCAGGAACTTTCGATAGGAGAAAATTGAGAGAACTTTAAGTCTCGAATGTAATTGGAATCTTCACCTTGGAGTGGAGTTGAAAATGCTATAGCCCAAGTGGCTGTTTACTGCTTTTCATTAGCAGTTGCTCAAAAGTCTTGGGGTGGGGGGAGAGGAGAAATTGGCTATCTCGTGCGCGGTCACCATGGAAATGTTCTATTTAACAATTGGGTCATGTGCATCCGGTGTAGGAACTTTATTTTCTACCATAAGTGACACCAATAAATGTTTGTTATGTTACACTGGTCTAACTTTTGTGATAAGCTTTCTAATTAAGACATTTATTTTAAGATTAAATTCTTACAGGGGGTGGGGTTTTGAGTAAGGAAACATTTCTATTCAATACTCTTGAGAACTTGACTAATTTTTAAGAAAAAGGGGTAGGAGGGTAATCCATGTCCTCACTTATGCAAAAGGGCCATTTCACACTGCCCTATGGAGTTTTCTTTTTTTTTAGATTTAAAAAAAGTTTAAAAGCTTTTTTTATTGACTTTTAAACAAAGATCAACACAATGTCAACTCATTGTGATCCCAAAGTAGTCGTTTTTTTAAGATTTTATTTATTTATCTTTAGAGAGGAAGGGAAGGAGAGAAACATCAATGTGTGGTTGCCTCTTGTGAGTCTCCTGCTGGGAACTGGCCTGCAGGGAACTAGCTTGCAACCCAGGCATGTGCCCTGACTGGGAATCAAACTGATCGTGTGATTTGCAGGCCCTCGCTCAATCCATTGAGCTATGCCAGCCAGGGCTGGAGTTTTCTTAAACATAATTGAAACTTCCTATTTCTCCTTATCTTTCTAAAACTTTCTGGTGGCTTTTTAATTTTTTAAGTTATTTTTTTTATTGTTAAAGTACAACTGTCCCCATTTTGCCCCTTTACTCTCCCCTGCTCTACCCACCCCCACCTCCCATATTCAGTCCTCCCCCTGGTGGCTCTTTGCTAATGATGCTGTATGGATGCTTGAATTCTCAAGACAGAGATGGGTCATATGTTAACTTTACACCCTTGGACTCTATTATTTTAGAGTGAAGGTTTATTTTGAACCTCACTATGTTAAAATGTCCATCTCTGAAATTTAACAAGTGGCACTAGGGTGGGATCTAGGACGGTGACCTTCAACTTACATTGAGCGCCACTGCAGGTGATCAAACACAGCCATTTGTGACAAGATGGGTTCAAGACCACTTGAATTGGCTTCCTGAGGAAAGGTGGCCTAGGTGAATATAAGGGGCAGCCTGTCGCACTGACATGAAATCCAATACAACCCAAGGATGGCTGTTTTTCAGATGGACAGTGGCTGACAGATTAATTTGCTAACTGGCAGAGCTGGTACCTGACAGCATGACTGTTACTCTGAGGCCCAGATCTCGGCTCCAATGCCCAGGATCATTCGGACAGGCCTGGAGTTTGTCATCAGGTCACGTTGAACACAAACGTTAAAAACCACCTGCAATGCTGTATGCAGTGAGTTTAGGGGTTAGTTGGGAAAGACAAGGGCCAGTCTTCTTCCTTGTTCCCAATGGCTCTCACTACCAAATGCCAAGAGTCCACCTCTTTCTGAGGAGCTGCTAATGATCATTATAAGACAGATAAGCCCTGGCCAGGTAGTTCAGTGTCTGACACACCAAGGTTGAGGGTTGGATCCCCAGTCAGGGCAATGGGATGCATAAATAAGTGGAACAAGTTGATGTTTCTCTTTCTCTTTCTAAAAAAAAAAAAAAAAAAGACATTTGAAGCTGTAAATATCCACTCTGATTTCTACAGCTTTATCTCGCAATTATGATTCTTCAACATTTTGTGATTAGTATCTTTAGCAATCAATCTCACCTAGGTTGTATTGCTCATAAAAACCCTTTATATAACTGAAATTTTTGCCCTGGGCTATCCGGTTCCTTTCCTCACCTACAAAGGTAGCAAGAGGGATAAACAAAATATTTTGGAAGTATAATACAGCTAAGTTTTCACTTAACTTCTGGAAGTAATTAAAAGTAACAAAAATGTGGGTTTTATTAGTCAACCACAGTCACAATACAATCATCATAGATTTCCCCTTCTGTATTCATCCCACCAAACACAAAGCAGAGCAATGAGCCGGTCTGACTTTCCTCCTGTGGGTCAGCGCCTTGGGTTACTCCTTTGTCAGTGGAGTCCCCTTTCTCAGCATCACAGTTTAGAGTGACAGGATTTGAGTCTTCTTCCTCAGGAGTGCACGTCACTGGCCATGGAATGATACACATGGAATGGTCCAATCGTCCGGGGGGTAGGAAAGTATCAAATTCAAGTAAGGCCCAATGCTGCTTTTCTGTTGGGGGGAGAAAAACAAACCAAAGGCTCTGTGTTAACAAGTTCCCGGAAATGCTTGATGATTTGCTTTATCACCCGAGCCTTAGAACAAATAGGAAATAAAAGGAACAACAAAATCTAATGGCCATCTTACCACTTTGATTATGTCATTCCCTAAAAATTTGTTTTTCATTCCCTTGGATTTAGATGTGGAGGGACCAGACTGAAAAGCCCAAGCACTGTGGTACTTATCAAAAAACGGTTACATCTGTTCATAGAGACCCACAGGGAACACCTGCTCACCTGTGTGATATTGATACATTGTGTCTAGTGCCCCTGTGGGAGTCATCCCTCCGAAGAAATATAGGTGCTTCCCGACAGCCACAGCTGAGTGGGCCGCACAGCCTGGGGGTGCCGCCCCGGTGGGGCTTAATTTCTGCCACTTCATGTCACCTGGCAAGAGAAAGACAGTGGGCATACTATGGCCTGACACGTGGTTTCAAACCTACCTGTCAGATTCCTGCAATTCACAAGCCAATCACTGCAAGTCATTGACTAGGAGCTTTAAGAGAACACAGCAAGGCTAGTGTGTGTAAAAATTAATTGAGGGAACTTGAAATCCTGTTTGGGTCATCCAGAGAGGGAGGAATCTGTAGTTTGGGTTTTTTAATAAATTTATTTTCAGAGCCCTGGCTGGTGTGGCTCAGCAGAGGACTGGCCTGTGAACCAAAAAGTTGCCAGTTCAATTCCTAGTCAGGGCACATGCCTGCATTGCGAGCCAGGTCTCCAGTTGGGGGCATGCAAGAGGCAACCACACATTGAGGTTTCTCTCCCTCTCTTTCTCTCTCCCTTCTCCTCTCTCTAAAAATAAATAAATCGTTAAAAACATAAAAAATAAATTTGTTTTTAGAGAGAGGGGAAGGGAGGAATAAAGAGAGGGAGAGAGAAATCGATGTGTGAGAGAAAAGTCTATTGGTTGCCTCTTGCATGCCCCCAAAGGGGGACTTGGTCCATAACTCAGGCATGTGTCCCGACTGGGAATTGAACTGGTGACCTTTAGGTTTGCAGGCTGGTGCTCAATCCACTGAGTTACACCAGCCAGGACATACCAGAGGGTTCTGATGTAGGTGGTCTTCAGAGCACACTAAGAAATGTGATATTACATCCCTGGCTGGTGTAGCTCAGTGGATTGAGTGCAGGCCTGCAAACCAAAGGATTGAGGTTCAATTCCCAGTCAGGGCACATGCCTGGGATGCAGGCCAGTTCCTGGCAGGGGATGCACAAGAGGCAACCACACATTGATATTTCTCTTCCTCTCTCCTTCCATTACCCTCTAAAGATAAATAAATAATTTTTTTAAATCTTAAAAAAAAAAAAGAATTGTGATACTACCTTTGGTGACCATCACCATTAGCTCTTTTGGAGCCCAGAAGTGAAGTTTTATGTGTATGCACATGTGTGCATGTTTTAAATACCAGCAGTTCCTTCAAAAGCAACTCTGAGGGAAGAGACACGCGAGATCCCACCCAAGATCAGCGAGTGGCAGAGCTAGACTTCTATTCAGGTCTGACTCCAAAACCTGTGTTCTCTGTACTGGGACTTGCTGCCTCAGCACCTACTCCCAACCTGTTTCTGTAGGAATATTTGCATCTTTTTAAACAAGCATTTAAATGAAGCACGGTATCACTGGATTTTGGGTTTGGAGAACTACATGGATAAAAAAGAGACAGAAAGTAGTTCCTCAGCACAAAAAGACTTTCTTTTTGAAAATAAGCATTCAAAACCTTTTTTTGACTGCCTATAAGAAATGTTTCCGTGAAGATATTTTTCACCTGTCAATTCAAGGCAGGGAGCCACAGTAAGAAGGGAAAATCACCCAGTCCAGCCAAAATTCTAGCCAACGCAGGAATCCCAGCCAGTGTCACCGGGCCTCAGGTGTTACCTCACCAGAGAACCCATTGTTTGGCATGGTAGCTGGACACACCACACAGCAGTTCTCATGCCTTCCGTGCACTGTTCCAATTCCTGTGGTTTGGACCAACCAAGAGCAAGTTCATCCCTCCAGCCCCTAACATATATACACTCATCACCCGTGACCTGCCAGACACTGTGCTAAGTGCTAGAAATACAATGGGGAACAAAAAAAACACAAACTCCTGCTCTAAGGGAGCTCACAGGCTAAAACAATAACCCAGAATGAGTCCAGGCTCTCCAGGGCACGTCAGCCCCTCAGACACTTTAAGAGAGTTCTCATGTTCTGTTTTAACTTTCCTCTTCGCGGTGTTTTTTAACTACATAGCACGACAGTTCCAGTCACCCCCCTCCAGACACACTCTGGAAGTTGTCCGTGCCTCTCCTGGGCATGGGGTGAAGGGCTAACGCCTGAAAGGAATCCAGTTGGGGAACACAAAGTATAATGCATTTAAATTAAAGCACATGAAGAAGAGATAATAGCTAGGTACATAACAAATGCTGAGGACCAACTGCTTTTATCATTATTGCTTATTAATAATAATATTCAGGCCACATTTGACAGAATCTAGTGAAGATTCTGCTGGCTGGTAAAGTTACCTACACCTAAGATCAAGGCTATGTTCTATCAGGCACATTTTATTTAATTTTAAGCAGAGCCCTGGATGGTGTGGTTCAGTGGATATAGCGCCAGCCTGCAACCAAAGGGTCGCCGGTTCATTTCCCAGTCAGGGCACATGCCTGGGTTGCAGGCCAGGTTCCCAGTTGAGGGTGCGTGAGAGTCAACCACACATTGATGTTTCTTTCCCTCTCTTTCTCCCTTCCTTCTCCTCTCTCTAAAATAAATAAATAAAATCTTTAAAAATAAAATAATTTTAAGCAGACAAGCCCTCATGCCCTCTACCCTACTTACTTATATCAATACAATGAAGATCATCATAGAATTTGTCCCCGGCCAAGCCTCCGTGGACGAAGAGTTTCGTCCCTGCTGCCACCATCACATGACCATGCCGGGGGGATGGCGGTGTTCCAAGTGTCTCTGGCTGTGACCAGGTCAGAGTGTCTATAAAAGCAAATTCATTGACATCAGATGACAGAGCTATGAAGCAAGAACATGAGAAATACATCCAAGCCGCACCTCCCAGCAAGCAGAGATGCTCCAAGCAGAAAGTGACCTTGAGGTCATTCACTCCGACTTGCCCACCAGTCCAGGCCTCCCTCTCTCTGCAGTGTGTACAGCCTCTGCTCTGACACTTCTGGTGCTGGAACGCTCACTGCCTGGCATGCCTGCCCCTTCTACTGGGCATTAGGAAATCATTCCTCGATTTGAATTAAAAAAAGACCTCCCTTAAGCTTAACCGGAGAACTGCCAGAGTTTTAAAAAGAATGACTCTGCTTCTTCTAAGACAAGCTTTCAGAGCATTCTTTTACTAAGACAATATCCTCAAGTAGGCACTGCTACTACTTCTGTTTACAGATTAGCAAACCAAGGCCTAGAGAGATCAAGTAACTAGGTTAAATTAATACAGAAAGTACATGTCAGAGCTGCTCAAGTCCAGGTCACGTGGCTTCAAAAGTCATGTTTCCACCCATGAAGATCTAACCTTGCCCCTACAAAAGCAAGCTGCAGAACTGTATTTATAATTTGAGTCTATGTGTGTATGTTTAATTTTTTAAAAAATAAACCTGCCCCAGCTGGTGTGGCTCAGTGAATTGAATCCCATTCAAACCACTAGTTTGATTCCCAGTCAGGGCACATGACTGAGTTGCAGGCCAGATCCCTAGTTTGGGGTGAGCGAGAGGCAACCACACAATGATGTTTCTCTCCCTCCATTCACCTCCAAAAATAAATAAATACATACATAAATAAATACAAATAAACCTAAGGGTTCTCTGTATTTTTAAAGATTTAATTTATTTTTAGAGAAAGAAGTTGGGGGAGAAAGAGGGGGATAGAAACATTGATCAGTTGTCTCTCACATGCCCCCAAATGGGGACCTGCCCCAAAACCCAGGCATGTGCCCTGACTGGGAATTGAACCAGTGACCTTTTGGTTTGCAGGCCGGCACTCAGTCCACTGAGTGACACTAGCCAGGGTTTTACGCTTTTATATAATTTCAAAAATGGTGCATGTTCATATACACTTATATGTATGATTTATAAATACATAGGAAAGTCTGGAAAGAGAAATAAGAACTGCCCACAGTGTCTACCTCTGCCTGGAGAGTGGGGAAAAAATACTAAAGAAAGAATTTTTTGCTTTTTTAGTTTATAAACTATACTGTTCAAATTTTTTAAATTGACCATTTATACTTTTTAAATGCAAATGTTGCTGATGCTGTGGGAAGAGGGTTGCACTGAAGAAGGCTAGGAGCGAGACACTCAGCCAGGATGTCATTTTCTAGCCTCTGCTTCCTACATCAGGTAAGCGGTGGACCAGCTGAGTGGCAGCTCCAAGGTGCCCACCCATCCATACTTGCGTCCAACACATGAAGCTTCACGTCCTGCACGGGCTGGGCACCTCTCTCTCCACCACCAAAGACATACAGCTGGTTTCCAATGACTGCTGAAGATGTGTGGAATGTTCTTGGGGAAGGCGGGGGGGTGGTCACCTCTGGTGTGGTCCAAGTCCTGGTATCTGTTCCAGAGAGAAGGGAGGCCCTAAAATACCCAGACTGAGAGGCCTCTGACCTTGAATCTGGGCCTGGGAAGGGTCACCTTCCAAACCCCAAACCCCAAACCCCAAGCAGGACAGCATAGGTGAAGGCAGTGACGTCATGACAAAGTCGAGGATGGGTGAGGGGAGATTCTTAGAATCTGCCCAGGTAGACCCAAGTCACCAAAACTGAAAAAGCCACAGGTGCATAGGAATGAGGGTTTTTTTTTTGTTTGTTTGTTTTTGGAGGCTCTCAAACATCCTCTCTGAGCCCTCTTCCACTTTGCTGACTCCTGCCCCATGCCATTCACAGGAGCCCAACATCTGCTAAAAGTCATTCCCGCTGGATGCTAGAAAGCAAACGTGCCAAATTTCCCAGGATGTGTGGATATTAAAAGAAAGTAGTGTTTTTACAGTTTTAGTAGTAGTAATTAGTCCTTAATAAATAGTAAGTGCTAAACAAATAGAGTGTATCAGTTTCCCATTTTATAGATAAGGGAATTGAGCAGAGCTATATGAAGTCACTCACTTAAGGTGACATGGCTAATAAATGGTTGGGTTGGGATTCAAATTCTGTTTCGATAACACCAAGGGCTAAGTATTTCCCACTCTTCTGACTTGAGAGTAAAATTTCATCACCTGGATGAGTGTTTAGAAGCTTATTTCTTTTCAGAACGAAGCGGACATTTTATAGAAACGTACCCATTACCGGAGCACCTTCCTTGGGCAGGTGCCCTGAGCACTCTGCCATCCCCACCGTCCTCACTTAACCCTGGGAGGTGGGCAGAAACTATCTCCACTTTGCAAGGAGGGAAATGAAGTTTGGAAAACTTAAATCCCTTCCCCAAGTCACACAGCACTTGTGAGTAGCAGGGTAGGGTCTGAACTCAGGTCCGTCAAAACTTCCACACTCACTCTACCATAACACACCAGGCGCTATTTCTCTCCAGGCAAATGTGCCTTTGGTAAAAGTCTTCGTCCAATATACAAAGTGACCCATGAAGCATCTGTAGTGTGTGTGGGGCTCAGACATGAACCCGGAGACCAAACAAGTGTAAGCCTATATCCAGAGCCAAATGAATCATCTCCATGGCTACAGAGCTTGGAAAGCTTTCGGATCCCAAGGTCAGAAGATCCTGGGGATGGTGCTGCTGCCAACTCAAATGCCGGCACAATCACAAAGCAGTCCTAAGTCATTTGACCGACTTGCCTTAGAAACAAAAGCAACTAATAATTCTCTTTCATGTTTCATATTTCTTGGGCATGGTGTCAAACTACACTTTCTAGAAGAGAAAAAGGATCTGGTGTAAAATCAATCCTTTGACAGAGGCTTTACAAATTCTCAGTGTATTTTATTTAAATTGCCATCATTGAAAATCAAAAGGCCAGGGTTCCAGATGAACTTCCACCTGTCAAACTACAGCTACATCAAGCACAACAACCATTATTAAGCATTAACCTTGTGCCAGATATTAAGTTAATTTCAATCCTTGCCAAACTGCCCTGGCTGGTGTCGCTCAGTGGATTGAGCGCCAGCCTGCAAACCTAAAGGTCGCTGGTTTGATTCCCAGTCAAGACACATCCCTGGGTTGTGGGCCAGGTTACCTGGTGTGGGGTGCGTGAGGGGCAACCACACATTAATGTTCCTCTTGCTCTTTCTCCCCCCTATCCCCTCTGTCTAAAAATAAATAAAATCTCTAAAAACAATCCTGGCTAAATTTAACAAGGTAGGAACTATTACTATCCCAAAGTGAAAGAGAAGACCAACTATTGTGTAAGTAAATCTATTGCTGATAGAGGGGACTGGGCAAGAACTGTCATGTGAAAAAATGTCCAAGTTACCAGTAATTAACACATGCATATTTAAGCATTCAGATACAAGTTGTTTTGCCTAATCAAATTAGCAATGTTTAAAAATGATAAATTCGATGTCAGTCAGGAGTAAAACAGGCACTATTAAACACAGCTGGAGGTGAGCTGGAACGATCTTTCTGAAGAGCAATTAGAAAGCACACACCAAAGGACTAAAAGTTGTGTTTCAATTAGTTGTTCAAAATTTCTGGGCATGAGTTCTAAGGCAATAACTTGAAATACAGTCTATGTCCTCTGAACGAAGAGGTTCGCTGCACCGCTTTGTTGTTGACAGTGGCAAGAATCTGAAAGTAGCCTCGATGTTACAAAATAGAATTATGGTATTGTCCTAAAATGGAGTGTTCCTGCAGCCACTAGAACTGATGTCAAAGCACTGCTGTGAACAGGACATCATTTATGCAGTCATTATGAAATTAAAAGGAAAAAGGTGTAATAGTGTAGAGGTTAAATAGTATGCGCCAAGGCTTATAAAAATGCAGAGAAAAGACAGAAAGGAAACACACAAATGTAAAAAGCCTTAGCATCATAGGATTGTAAATGGTTTGTAAATCAAAATCCATCATAGGATTTTGATTAAGTATGCCCCACATACTTAACACTTTTTAAATATTTTACAATGAATATAAATTATATTTATTGATTGATTTTTTGAGAGACGGTAGAAGAGAGAGAAAAACACTGATTTGTTGTTCCACTTATTTATGTATTCACTGGTTGATTCTTGTATGTGCCCGACAGGAGATTGAACCCACAGCCTTGGTGTATTGGGATGACACTCTAACCAACTGAGCTACACGGCCAGGGCCTAAATTATATTTATTTTAAAAAACCCATTTTTTAAATTCTTAAAAAAAATTTTTTTAAGATTTATTTTAAATTTCTAAGTTTTTTAAAAAGATTTTATTTATTTATCTTTAGAGGGGAAGGGAAGGAGAGAAGGAGAGAAATATCAATGTATGGTTGCCTCTCATGAGTCCCCTTGCTGGGAACTGGCCTGCAACCCAGGCATGTGCCCTGACTGGGAATCGAACCTTGATTGTCTGGCTCCCAGGCTCGCGCTCAATCCATTGAGCTACACCAGTCAGGGCTAAAAAAATTATTTATTTATTTATCTTTAGAAGGGAAGGGAAGGGAAGGAGAGAGAGAGAGAAATATCAGTGTATGGTTGCTTCTCGTGCATCCCCTGCTTGGAACTGGCCTGCAACCCAGGCATGTACCCTGATTGGGAATCGAACCTCGATCTTTTAGTTCACAGGCCCATGCTCAACCCACTGAGCTATACCAGCCAGGGCAAAAAACCAGTTTTTTAACTAATAAAAAGATAAGTCCAGCTCCCATCCATCAGTGGTCCAGCAACATCTGCTCGGTAGCGATGTTCCTACACTACCACTGAGACCGGTCAGGACTCTGCACTTTGTGGCTCACAGAAATATACAAGGAAAATCTAAGGGCAGGCACTGTTGGACCAGGTCATCTGTTACTGTGGGGGGCTGTCCTGTGCATTACGAGACATACAGCAGTATCTCTGGTCTCCACCCACTAGAAGCTAGTAGCAAACTGCCCCCCACCTTCCTCGAGCACGCATAACCAAAAATGTTTCCAGATGTGGCTAAATGTCCCCTGGGGAGCACAATCGCCACCCTGATCTAAGTCGCACACTCTAGCCTGGCTCAGTCACTGACTCCTTAGTGACTTTAGGAAAGCCACTTCCCCTGGACATGGGTCGCCCACTTGGCATAACTGTCCTCTGAAGTCTCTTCCAGCTTTGGCTTTTCGGAAGCTGTTAATAATTGTACAGGTTACTAGGAAAACAACATGTAATTCTGTTATTTTCAGATTCTGCCAGAAGTTAAAATTCCTGTTTTCCATGAGGTCAGCATAATTCAGTACAATCCAAATGGGTTTTGTTTCAGAAAAACTGGAATTTTAATTATTTATTTAGGTAAATAAAATAACCTTTGACTACTTACCAGGGTTCAGAACTTGTAGGCAATTTTGATTTCCGGACTGGTTGGCACCTCCAAACACCCAGATGCTGTGAGGTGTACAAGACGGAACGAAGCTGGCATGCTCGTACCGGGGCAAGAGGCCCTCCGAGGTGGCTAAACTCCACTGGTGTGTTCCTAGAAAACATTTCACCCAGTTTCTACACTGGGCTGCCAACTGCTTTGATTGTTTGGCAAACTTGGGGGAGGGTAGTGAAGAGAAGATGGTCAAAAGCATCAGTGAACAATCAGATTACTTAAAGGGAATATGGTCAAACTCCAAAAAGTTTACATCAGACACTTTGGGGACCATCCGCAAACCTTCTTCTATGGAAACTGTCCCCATTTTCCCAATCACAGGGGTAAAAGCCAGAAGACCTGTTTGTACTGCAACACCTTGACTTTCTAGCCTTAGCTGATTGGGTCAAGGGTAGCCACTTGACCCCAAATGGGCCACTCAGATCCGCTCTCCTAAGAGTTTGGAATTCAAACAAATTCCTGGACTTGGGTGGCCATCTTCCACTACCTGTGGAGAGGCAGAGAAAGACAAAGTATGGACGAGAGAAGAACGAAACATCTACGTTAAGAAGCAGGTCTCCCGACCTGACTGATGTAGTTCAATGGATTGAGTGCAGGCCTGTGAACCAAACAACCACCGTTCAATTCCCAGTCAGGGCACATGCCTGGGTTGCAGGCCAGTTCCCAGCAGGGGATGCACAAGAGGCAACCATACATTGATGTTTCTCTCCCTCTCTCCTTCCCTTCCCCTCTAAAGATAAGTGAATAAAATCTTAAAAAAAAAAAAAAATAGAAGCAGATCTCCCCACAGAGCATGAGGGAGAAAGCAAATTTATTTTTAAAGCTTCCCAGTTCCTGCTTCCCCTCTCTCCTGAGGCTAAGCTGTATCTTCTGCCCTTTTTTTTTGCTGGTTTAAAAGAGTTTCTGTTACCCACAGATGAATGATTTCTGGCTAAAACAAATTCATGGAATAATAATACCTAGCCAATTAGTTGTTTTAGTTAACAAACCACTTACAAAGGACCTTCATGGGCCTATCTTGTTGGGTCATTACCACTGCTAAGCGAATCAATGTTACAGGACAATGAAGCCCACATGGTTGAGACAGGTCAGCCAGAGTCACAAAGATAGTAAGAGGTGACAACAATGCTGTAACTGAACTAGAGCCCTGATTCTAGTGCAGGGAGGGAGCAGAAATTCAAACGCCTACACAGGAGTGGAGGGAACGCGGTAAATTGGAGCCCTAGAGTCCCATCAACAGGTAGCAGCTCAGCTCCAAATAACTGCTGTAGTGTAGACATACAGGCCTGCTGATTCTGGAAGGCCTGTCGTATCTTCCAGAATTATCAAGAGAAGCCAAGCCATGTCAATTTCATTATGTAGATGTCTTCACATCTGGTTGGTGAACAACTCAGATTAAAACAATAACAGCCATGCCACATGCTCCTTACATGTGGGTCGCTAGTTTTCTTCTGCCATTGTGAATGGGGGTTTGGGAGAGCCAAGAAATGAAGTGGGGAAAGGCTCAAAATGCAGAGTGACACGGTCAGATTTGCATTTTAGATAATACTCTCTGCCTAGATATGGAAAACATTCTGTAGAGGGGGTAATAGTTCCTGGGAGCAAGGCTGTTGTACCATCTAGTTGGGAAATAACAACTTTTGGACTGTAGTAGTAGTGGGAATAGACAGACCTGGATGAGGAGAGAAATATTTAGGACTTGGTGATTACTTGGATGTGTGGATGGAAGAGGAGATGGAGTCATCAATGTCTCCCAGATAAATATTTAATAAATAAATGGCTGGATGTCCAGAGCTCCATACAGACTCTTCCCCACCAAACAAGGATGTACTCGTTGGGTAGTGGGTGTGTTCCGGGGGTCTGCTGAGACCTTAGGGATCTCTCGGTGATGTTTATGTTTTTAGAGGAAAACCCCGAGGTCCGGACTGAGCTGGGGCTCCTAGGAGTGCTCTGGTCCTGGCCAGCAGCATGAAGCCCCGCACTCTGGTCACAGGGCACATGCTCCGCAGCTGCTGGTCTTACCCAGATCCATGGTGTGCACGTCTGAGAAGCTCCTGTTTGGATCTGCTCCGCCAACAATGAAGACCTTCCCTCTCTTGGCATCACCAACTGGGGGTAAATACAAGCAGCTGTGGCCTACCCGAGCACATGGGCTGTCTCCAGCGGGGGTTAAGGCATACCTGTCAAAGGAAGGATGTATTCAGGAGGCCTGAGCAGAGAATAAAAGCAGCAGAGTTTTTTCCATTCCTCATGAAATATGCATGAGAATCAAGGGTCTTACACAGACACAGAGACTTGGAATTGTATCCAGCAAAGCATCATTTCCCTAATAACAGCACCTTCCATTTGCACATAAACTTCGGCTTTCCAATTTTGTCATTACTTTCATCTTACATTAACCTAACAGTGATGCACGGGGACGGTGATTGAGAGAGAGAGAGAAACTAACCATCTGGTAGAGAGAGAAACTAACACTCAGAAATCTTCAGTGGTGTGTCCAAACACAGGACGGTAGCGCTGAGCAGTTTGTGAATTCAGACAGACACTGTTCATGTCCCAGTTCAGGCACTTTCTAGATGTGTGACCTTTTGGAAGTCACGTGACCTTGCTGAAGCAAAGTTTAATTATTTGTGAAATGAGGCTAGCAATAGATCCTATCTGTAAAGAGTAAGACGAAGTCTTGTAACAGTGGAGGAAAAGACTCAGTAAGGGGTGGCTACAGCTTAGGTGCAATCACACAGGAGCCTACAGCCCCAGCGCTCTTGCCACTAGCCAGGGATGCTTTCCTGCTGTCAAGTAATATTCTCCAAGGTTTACTGATTGTAAGAGCTTTTCCAGTTACTCCGAAAGCTCGACCTGATGGAAGCCAAAGCGAAGCCTTTGAAAAAGTCAAATACAGGATCCAGTCATTTCACTGTCTAAAGTTATTCTGAATTATGACTGAGAAAGCATACTTCAAGTTTCCTGGTTGGAAAAGACAATTCTTTTTTGAGGCCCTGTGTTATCTGACCTCCCTGGCTCCGCCCTCCTTCTTGTACTTTCTTCTCACCTAGTTGCCCCTCTCCCCTCCCTTTTGGTTCTCTACCCACTTTTCTGGCTGCTCTTTCTGTTTACTTCTGTGACTCCTTTCCCTGACAGTCTTCTCTTAACCCTCAGTACCCTGGGATTGTCCTCTCCTCAGTCTATGTTTGCTTGCCTGACCAATTTTACCTGTACTGAGGGCTTCAGTTACCACTCATCTATATATGCAGTCTGTCCAGAAAAAGTCCAGCCATTGTTAATATAATGAGAACAGTTTATGAGACATGGATGTAACCTGGCAGCCAAGGAGAGTGGACTAGAATGCACATGCGTGAACAATGACGACCTCACCATGCTAGTCAGTGGAGGCGGTAGATGCCATTGACTGAACATGTGGACTGTGTGGCCTCCACATTCAAAATGAGCTAGTAGAGCAATGAATCTGCATCAAATTTTGTGTTACGCTTGAACAAACCTCCACGGGAACTATTCGGGTGATTCAGAAAGCTGCAGTTATGGGCTATTGGTGATTGGCAGCTTTGTTATGACGTGTCCACTCATGCATTACGTCTCGTGCAGAGTTTTTTGCAAAACATCAAATCACCCAGGTGACTCAGCCCTGTTACAGCCCAGATCTGGTGCCCTATGACTTCTGACTTCTCCTAAAACTAAAATCACTTTTGAAAGGAAGAGATTTCAGACCATCGATGGAATTCAGGAAAAATATGATGGGGCAGCTGATGGTGACTGGAAGAACTGTATGAGGTCCCAAGGTGCCTACTTTGAAGGGGACTGAGGTGTCATTGTCCTATGTACAATGGTCCTTGTATCTTGTATCTTCTTCAATAAATGTTTGTATTTTTCATATCACATGGCTGGATACTAAACTATTTCTTTTCCAGATTTGTCTTCTGAGGTTCAGACTCACAGATCAACGAATAAGTACTAATAATATACCATGCATGCTGCTAACTCCATTACAACCCCAGTTTCACTTAATCTGCATAAAATCCCTTTGAGGACAGTTCTATTATCATCATCTGAGCTTTATAACTGAGGACTCAAAACTTAAAAATGTTAAATAACTACTCAAGAGCACACAGCATCCAGATAGTGAATAAGACAAAAAATGTTCATGCCTTCATAGCCTTTACAGACTATTTGAGAAGAGAAGCATTAAAGGGATAACTTCACAAACATCTGTTTCACTCCCATTGCGCTATAAAGGAATAGAAGGTATACAGTGTTAGAACCTCTCATAGGGACACCTTACCCTGTTAGGAGAGGTGGGGGAGGGGACAGTCAGAAAAGGTTTCCTGAAGAAGCACCTTTTGAACTGAAATCTGATATATGAGCATATGTTAGTTGGACAATGAAAGGCACAAAAGATGGAGGAAGAGAGAGATCCAGGCAGAGAGACCAGCACGTACGGTTGCTGAGTGGGACAGTGCAAGGCATATTAAGGAAGAGGAAGAGGACAAAGGATGAGTACAGTGATTTGAGGTAGGAAAGATGGGCAGGGACAAATCATGCAGGGCCCAGTGGGCTGTTTTAAAGACTCTGGTTTTGATGCTAAGGCGAATGAGGAGATACAAAAAGGTTTTAAATGAGGAAATGCCATGATCAGATTTACACTATGTAGAGAGCAAGTGTGGGCGCAGGGAAGCCACATCAAAGACTCTCTTCCAAGGTCCTGCTTCAGCCCTGCCCCCTCTCTACAGCCTTGTGTGGGCCCTGTTTCAGCACTGGTCACATTTCATCACCATCAACTGCTTTATCTGCAGCTCCCACTACAGTAAGACTGTTCACCTTTGTACGTTCAGTGCCTACACAGCAGCTGCCCCTGTCAGGCCAGTGTTAATTGTTGGATGAAGGGTTGACTGAGCAAGCAGTCAAGAAACAGTGAAGCCAGTTTCATCCAAATCCTATTCCTTGAAAATCTTAAAAATGAATCTCAGCTTGAGGGGAAAACACAGTGTTGAAGCTAAGGATGCCAGATGGCCAGCACCTTCCTTTCCGGTAAATGGCTTTTAATAAAATCAACATCTGCTCTGATAATTGTTGCCCTGCTATCTTTCCTCTGAAGACCTTCTCAGACAGTTTGAGTCTAATGACCAGAAACTGCAAACCGTTTTTCATCTCTCCCCTTTTTCATAGATGTTTAAATATGTTAGTAAACTACGTATAAATGAAGCAAAAACTTATGCTTTTTCTGTTTGAATCCTTCCTTACAGACCATGTGGCTTTCCTGGGCTTGTCTCCAGGCTCCAAGACTGGCAGCTGCTTCATGGTGTCCTACAAACAAGAAAGAAAGGCACTTTTTAGACATTTATGATTAACTTCTACCTAAAACACAGAACAAAATAGGTCATCGCCCATATTAAAACCTTTCCTGTTGATATACCAATTCTAGGATCTGATGAATTTGAATAAGCATTACCAACCTTTTCATGTAATGTTATATTTGGGAGGCAAATATAACACAACTTTCTCAACTACAGAAGTGCTTTGGCTAAAGTTTTCTGTGTATCTGTAATTTTCATGGTGAAGGGGTATATGTCAAAATAAATGTTCGGAGGTCAGGTTTATGTTTATCAAAAGATAAAACGTTTTAAAAGGCTGAGAAATACTGAAGTCTAGGGTAAATCCTGGCCCCATCAACACATTCCAAGATTTCTGGTCTCAATCTCCTTTCCAGGAATTCACCTCCACAATTTCTTGCTATATTTAGTAGTTCTCGCTATATTTATTGTTCCTCTAACATGACAAGCCCTTTCATAACTTTCATCCCTTGCTGCTTCCTGTACCTGAAATGTCCCTTCCCTTGCTGCCAACTAGCAAACTCCTGGTCAACCTCCACAGCCCCTTTCCAATGAACCTTCCTCAGTGAACATCCTCAAATTGCTTTCTTCTCCCTCTGAACGTGTCTGTTAAACCGCCATCATTGCAGAGGTCACCCTGAATGTAATTAGCCACGTAAATGTCTCTAGACTAGATTCTAGACTCAATTCCAAGAGAGCTAGGCCTGTATTATTCCTTCAGAGAACCTTCCTATGGGCTCGGCATAGAGTACAAGTGTGGGATTCAGTGAATAAAGAACATAGATAAGATTCTGGGGAAATGAATGGATAAATCCAACCTTGGCCTAAGCCACTGACTGCTGTCCCCAAAGCCTAAAAGCTCAGGTGGGTTAAACTTCGCGTGAGCGTAGATATCCCCCAGTCCCATCCCCGCATGGCACCGACAGGGACTAGGAGACAGGGTCTTGGGGAAAACACGCCGGCTCCTTTCGGTCCTTGTGCCCGGGCCAGAGAAGAGCTTCCACACCGGACCAGTACCCACTCCCCTAAGGGTGCGGCCACCCCCGCCCCGGGACCACGTCCGATGACCCCCCGGGCCCCAGACCGCATTACCTGCGGCGGCTTAGGCCAGTTCGGGACTGGGGCTCCGCCCCCTAGAGGGCGGTGCTTGGGCCTTGCTCCATCCCAGACCCCGGAAGAGCGAGGCAGCCAACCGCTCGCCTTCTCGCCTTCTCCCCGCTCGCAGTGTCCGGCTTCCCGGGATCGCGGTTAAAAGGTCGGGGAGGGGTTCTGCCACCTGGGGTACATTTTCAGGGAGCCAATAGGCCGGCCGTTCTCGGGGTCTTACCCACCGGCGGAGTCAATAAACCAGGGCTACCGGTAGAAGATTCACCAGAGAAATGCCGGGGGTTGGGCGCCTACTAGCGTGACCCAATTCTGGGTTATCCAAAAACGGCTAGGATATTTTCAGTTCCAGCGGCTGTTAGAATGGTTTCTGAAAGGGAAAAATCTCCCTGTTCAGTCTTAGGTCAATTCAAGCTTTGGCGCCTTAAACGGCTGACTCATTCCAGAATTAGGGAGTTTAACTGTGGCAGGCACTACGGTGAACCAGACAAACAAGGGTCCTGGCCTGCTGGAGTTCACGGTCGAACTAGAGAGGGAGAGAGAGAGATTGAGCTTAAAAAGGAAAACAAACAACTAGGCACCTTTGTAAAAAGTGCAAGAAATGAAAAGGTCATCAGTGAGAGTATCTTATTCTTGGGGAAGTTACTTTTCTTTGGGCCTCAGTGCCACCGCTGTAAGATGGAGCTAAGATTTGTCACAAGGTTGATGGGGAATACATGAGCTGATGTATCTGAAGTGCTCAGTGCCCAGCTGCTGGTGCAGACCTGGTCCTCTATAAAGTGTGATGCTATTTCTGGCTATAAACGAAGTCAGTCCTGAATGGGAAGTGTTCATGTGCATTATTCCTGGTCTCCATAGGTTCTCTGTAGCTTTCCTCAAAATGAAGACGCGACTCACCTATGTCTGTGTTTTAGAGAACCCTGCAATCACTTAAGAAGGATGAGGCCAGTAACCTAGGAAATACGGGAAACAACTAAGGGAGGAAATGGGAGCTCCTGAAGAGGTATGGTAGCAGAGTGGGAAGAAGAAGGATACTCTTGAGTTCAAATACAGGCTCTAACACTAACCATCTAACTTTGACCTTTGGCAAATTCATTACCCTCTCCTAGCCCTGGTTTCCTCATCTCTACCATGGGAATAGTAATATCTACCTCACAGAGGGAGTATTTGAGAGGATTGGATAATACAGGTGAAAAAACAACTTGGTAAAGGTTTTAGCTACTTGAAACCATAATGAAAATGTATTTGTGAAATGGAATCTGAGGTTTGCAGCTCTCCTCACTGTTTCAAATATCCTGTTTCAAACACCTGGAGTCTTTGTGAATTCCCGTATTAATGAAAAAGTATCCATTGAATGTCTGCCAAAGAGTTGTTTAGAAATACTCAGTTATTCTGCTCTCCTTCAGCAAGGAAAACCAAGGCCAAGTTGGCTCTGCTGTCTGTGTATGTGCATCTCAATGGAGATTTCTGCTCAGAGTGCAGAAAGGTGTGACATCCCGTGTCTTTTGTCTAGATCCATTTCATGGTGCCATGCTGGAGTTGTGCATAAACAAAAATTAGAAGAGGTTTGTGGGCAAAAGAGCAACCAGTTTTCATTGTGAAACATGCTTTTACACTAGAAATCACATTTCAGAAGGTGCTGGAAGGAACTTTTGAGGTCTATTTTTATAAGGGAAATCAAGGCCTAGAGAAATTAAAATGACTAATTCACATAAATGGCAGAACCAGGAGTCTGCATCTTCTGCTTTGTGCAAGGCAGACTAATAACATATTGCAGTCAGCAAGCTCTGCACTGTCTTTGTAACACATCACCCAATGTGTCTATCAACTCCTCTAAGAGCTCTCCCAATACTCAGGGATGCTTCCCTCTCTCTGCTCTGGATGTCAGCACTGAGATTCATCGAATGAGGTGGGTCTGCAGGATGGAGCTTCTTCCTGCCAGCCAGTTTGGTAATGTGAGGAATGCCACCTATTTTCACTAAGATGTTACCATCTGCTTTCATTACCTACCTGTTCACTGACTTATCAGCAAGGAAAGTAATGATGCTCATGACAACTTCCTTTCTAGCACTTTATTTGTCCTCCTCAATTTTGAGAAAGTATTTTGAGTAGGATTAATTCCCAGTTACTGAGGTTCAGAGATGAAAAGTGAATTGCCAGCTTTCCAAAGAGGACTGTAATTTAAAAAAATGTCAAACAACAGTTGCGTCTTTTCTTCACTTGGAATCTTCTCCTCCAAGAAACCTGGAGCACATTCCCCCTATACTTTCTTTTTCCTAAAGTCTTCAATGTTACCTCTTCAGGAAGGCCTTGCTTCACCAACCCAAAACTGAGAGCTAACACTCACATTGCACTCTGTACATGACATGGTTTTAAGCCCTTTCCATATATTAAGTCTATTAAAACTCAGTACAAGCCTACAAGATAAGTATTAGTCATATCTCCATATGAGTTAGGCACTGTTATTACAGCCTTCATATGGGAGCTAATACACTGCTGCACAGAAAGGAAAAATAACTTTGCCAATGTCACATGATTAGTAATGGATTTCAACCCTGGCTATCTGGTGCTAGAGTTTGCAAGCTTTACCTCCACTACATTGCCAACCTAAAGAAGGCCTCTTCTACTCCATTTTTTAACTCACAGTACCACTTTCCCATTTTAGTGCTAATCACACTTTACATGTAATTATTTTCTCATTTATATGTTTATTGTCTCCCCTATCATACTGTAAGCCCCATCAGGGCAGGGGTCATATTGGTCTCATTCACATCACAGTTTCTATATAACTATTTGTTGAATGAATTAAGAAATGTATGCTTGTGGGCATCATTCATTGTATGACAAACTTTTATTTATCTTTTTTTTAAAATATTTTATTTATTTATTTTCAGAGAGAGGGCAAGACGGGCAGAAAGTGAGGGAGAGACATCGATCAGTTGCCTCTCATATGCCTCCAACCAGAGACCTAGCCTGCAACCCAGGCATGTGCCCTGACCAGGAATTGAACCCACGACCCTTCGGTTTGCAGGCTGGTGCTCAAAACCAGCCAGGGCTCATTCTACAACAAACTTACAAATTATTTTTACTTTGAAACTATTTCATACTTACAGAATAGCTGCAAGAATAATACAAAGAACTTTACCCAGCGACCTCACTAAATTTTGCCAAATGTCCCCAAAATACACTTTAGAGCAAGAAGATCTAGTCCAAAGCTACTTGAACAACAAATATTTATTGAGAATCTGCTACTACTGGATTATATGACAGTATCCTAACTGGTGTCTCAGCTGTAAACATTATCTCCTAGTCTCATACAGCACCATATTCTTCCAAAATAAGTTCGATCATATTACTCCTTTGCTCAAAATCCTGCAATATTTCCCTGTTACATTAAAAGTACAAATCACAGCCCTGGCTGGTGTAGCTCAGTGGATTGAGCGCGGGCCTGTGAACCAGAGGATTGCGGTTCAACTCAGTCAGGGCACATGCCTGGGTTGCAGGCCAGTTCCTGGCAGGGGACGTATGAGAGGCAACCATACATAGATATTTCTCTCCCTCATTCCCTTCCCCTCTAAAAATAAATAAATACAATTTTTAAAAAAGTTTTAAAATAAATAAAAGTAAAAATCAGGGAAGAAAACATTCTTTTCTCTCCTCTCCTCTCACCTTGCTCTAACCACACTAATCTTCTTGCCATTTCCAAGATTCTACATATGCTTCCATTTTAGGGCCTTTGCATCAGCTCCTCCTTATAACTCCCCTTTAGTACACGCATGCATCCTACTTGTTTGTTGGCATTTTAAAATGCATCATCCCATCTCCCTTATTTTGTTGGGGTCCTTTACCCCCAGCGCTTAATGCAAAAACCCACTTCTCCTATAGGGTTAATAATGCTACCAAAAGATGCCTGGTTAGTTTTCCATGAACTAGGTACCAATATTGGTGGTATCTTTGTTTTCTAAAAAAAGCACCTAACAGAAAGGAGCCACAGAAGACTCAGATGAGCATGAAAGCTACATTTCTACTAATATTGGCTTTGTCCTCATTTGAATTAAATCATCCCCTGAATACGGGGAAAATGCACAGGAATGACTTCCCTATCATACAGCACATATAATTTACATATAAGTAAATAACAAGTTACATTCCCAACAGCTCCTTTGACTTTCAATATATTGTATGGTTATTTATTGTTTATGTTCTGTCTCTTCTACTATAAGGTAGCTATTGGTTGAGGACAGGGATCTTTGTTTTGTTTGCTGAATATCCCAAGTGCCTACAACTGTACCTGGCACATAGTTGGTGTTCAGTAAAAGCTGTTGAATGAACCAAATGTTGAGGGTATGCTAAATGCCATGGCAGTTTCTGTTCTTGGTGCTGAGGTACAACAACAAAAAAAATCCCTGACCTGGTAAGACACATCGAAGTGTACTTAAACCAGCTAGACCTGTGTTCCAAACTAGTCTCCTTCCACCTATTTCCTTTGAGATTTGGGGCAAGTTACTTAACCTAAGTGTTGCTTTTCTATGAGTCGCTATGAGAATTAAACAGAAAAACAGCGTTTATATAGCACTTAGCATAATAACACTTTACTATTTGTTTCCCTTCCTTAAGGCCTGAAAGACTGGTTGCCTGACACCTCTGCCACAGATTTAGGCAAGGTTTTCAAAAGGCCTAGGAAAGGTGCAAACAGGGTACCATGACCAGGCTTACCTAATTTTTAACTGGAGGTGTTGGGGAATGACACTGCTTAAATGAGTCGAAGCCAGGGAATAGCTAGGGTCACCTACTTCGCCGTTTCGATCGGAAAAGCTCCGCTCTGGTCCCTAGAGGTGAACGTCTGGTGCAAGGAAGCTGGAGGCAAGAAGTATCTGGCCACTACTCAAAACTATAAATCCCAGCCCTCCCCGCGGCAAACAACTACGGGTCCTAGCAGGTTTCATTGTCGGGACCGAGGGGTACCCCTCCGGGCCCGCTGCCCGAGTTCTGCAGGGGAAGGTGAGGGGCGTGCCGAGGCGGCGGGGAGACGAGAGTCAAGCCGTACGCCGCTGCGCAGACGCCACTCATGGGCCGGACGTGACGTAGGAAGAGTTCCGGCTTCGGCCTCTGCCGCTGCCGCCGCTACTTCAGCCGCTGCCGCCGTCGCCGCCGCCGTCGGGGCTTGTTATTTCTAAAATGGCGCCCCTAGACTTGGACAAGTATGTGGAGATAGCGCGGCTGTGCAAGTACCTTCCGGAGAACGACTTGAAGGTGAGCTCGGTCGGGGCGGGAGCGCCGCTGGCGGGGCTCGCCCCTTCCGGCAGCGGGGCGCCCGCCGGCCCGCCCTTCTCTACGCCGGACCCCCGCCAGCATCCCGTCCGGTCCTTGTGGACGGCCTGACGCGGTGCCGGGCGACCCGGCCCGTTTTGGCGTCGCGCGGAGAGCCAGGAGAGCCGGGGGAGCGGGAGTCCGCCGAATGCCGTCCGGGGTCCGTAGCGGGGAGCCGGGGGGATGTCGCGGCCTCTGCCCCAGGGTTGCCCCTCCTGGCCTTCGGCGGCCTAGGGGCTCCGAGCCCTAACAGCTGTGCATGGAAGACCCTTCTCCCCTCACCCCGTCCCCGGCCTCCCGGAGTCCGAACGGGCCCCAGCGGGCAGTGCCCTCGGCGTGGGGTCATCCCTCCAGACGTGGTGACAGGAGCGCTGGGTGGCCGGCGTCTGACAGATGCCCCGGCCCCCGACCGCTGCCCCAGGGTGTTTAGATTTCCGAGTACTGGGCAGCAGCTTGGGCGAGAGGTAGGAGGAAGGGATGCCGAGGCGTTTCTCTTCCAGCCTCTCTGCCCAGTTGCTCTTCAGGGGTGCGGGCTTCCTTCTGCTCGTTCGCCTCGGCGTCCCGTTTTCGAGGGCGCCTTGGAGCTCGTTTAAGTGGACGATGTAGTAGTCCCTCTATAAAGACCAGTACTTTACTGTCCTTTGCGTTGTTCCCCCATGACCCCTTCTGAACTCAGGATCGCCTTTCCTGCGTTTCCTAACGGAGGTGGGTGGTTTTCTGTTGCGGCCGAATCCAAGTCACAGTCCCTGTGTGCGCGGCGAAAAGGGAGGAATGTCAGTGTTTGACAAGTCTCTTTTACTGCGTCTGTTAAACCAGCGCTTAGGTGTCTCGCAGAGTTTCGCGATAAGTGCTGCTGTGTGTTTTTATTTGTTCCGTTAACTTTGATTTTCTGAGAGGTGAGTAAACTCAATAGCTTTTTTTTTTTTAATTCTTTAAGCTGTGGACTTAAAGCAGTTTATCTTTGTCCGTGACTTTTTTTCTCTTAAGGAAGATGTTACTGTTTTTTTTTTTCTTTTGCTCTTTCTTTTGATACAGGAAGTTGGTATTTAACGACGGTCAACAAGTATGCAAAATGTTGAAAGCCAAAGGAGCTGTTGTGAATGTAACTCGTTTTTACTTATAGGGGAATTATAGGTGCTAAATGATAGGGGAATCATTCTTGTGCATTTCCCCCTTCTTCATGGGATGATTTAATTCAAACGGGGACAAAGCCAATATTAGTAGAAATGTAGCTTTCATGCTCATCTGAGTCTTCTGTGGCTCCTTTCTGTTAGGTGCTTTTTTTTTTTAAGGAAACAAAGATACCACCAACATTGGTATCCAGTTCATGGAAAACTAACCAGGCATCTTTTGGTAGCATTATTAACCCCATGGGTGAAGTGGGTTTTTGCATATCAGTGAGTCATGGTGAAATTTTCTGTTCCTTGGCATATATGAAGCTATTTTAAGTTTTGTGTTTTATAATTAATAAAATATTGCTTATTAAAATGTATTTTGATATTAACTTGAAATTGAAGATTGAAATGATTTGGATCATAGTCACTTGGATTTTCTTTAGACCTTTTAGTTTGTTAAACATTAAACATTAGATTTACTTCCCACTCCGAGGAAATATAACTATTAAACCATTGCATTTCCCCTTGCAACACAATTGGACATATTAAGCATGTATCTGTTTCTTTTTCTTTTTTTTTTAAAAGATTTTATTTATTTATTTTTAGAGAGGAGGGAGGGGAAAGAGAGGGAGAGAAACATTGTTCAGTTGCCTCTCAAAGGCCCTCAACTGGGGACTGGCCAGCACCCAGGCACGTGCCCTGACCAGGAACCTAACTGGTGACCTAGCCCACTTAGCCACGTCAGCCAGAGTGTGTGTTTCTTAACAAACTTAAAAAAAAAAAAACTTCTGGGCATCTACTGGGGAAAATTATGAATTATTTCTTTAAATGGATTTTTTTTTGTCATGGAACTGTTTTTATCACATTAATTTGCCTGTGACTTAATTTGCTCATCTCTGGCTTATTCAAAGAAATTTAATTTTATTTCTGCTTCTTGGCATGAAGTGCAAACTAAAATTAGGCAGGCCAGGAAAGTATTCCAGGAGCACCTTTTCAGAGGCTTTAAATCTTTTCAGAGGCTTTAAAGCCAAAATAAAAGATTTTGTCAGAGGAAGAAAAGAAATCATTAGGGCCACCTCATGATCATTATGGAAAAGATTTGAACTGGTAGAAAAGACGGAAATTCACTGTGTTTTAAACTGACTAGAAGTTGGAGGTACTAAATAAAATAATAAATGCATAGGATGTTCTAGAATGAATTGTGATTTCTCTATACCTAAATTGGAAGCGGTCAAACGTACATAACTGTTTTGAAGGAATAAGGATGAAATATAAAAGTGAATGGACCAAAGCATAACCTTTCTTAAAAAAGAGTTCATGCAATTCTCAGCCACAAAAAAGATTTTAGAGCTGATCATGGAAGATACAGATCCCATATCTGGCTAAGTGGAAGAATAAATGATAAAAGGCAGGTGTACTGAAAACTTAAATTTCAGTATTGGGTTGGCCAAAAAGTTCATTTAGTTTTTTTTTAGTATAATGGCTCTAATAGTGCTTAGTTGCCTTTAACTTCATTTGAAACAATTTTGTTAGATTGTATTGTGACAGCTGTCATTTCAGCATGCATTAAAAATACTTATCAAAATTGGTGAATTTTTGTGCATCCATTTTAATATTGGAGATGGAAAAAGATATACAACATTTTTATTGTATTTTGCTTTATTCTTTCAAGAAAGGTAAAAATGCAACTGAAGTGCAAAAAAAGATTTGTGCAGTTGTATGGAGAACGTGCTGTGACTGATTGAACGTGTCAGATGTCATTTGTGAACTTTCTTGGTACTATTGACATTTTGGCCAAATGATTCTTAGTTGTGGGGCTGTCTTATGTATTGGAAGATGTTTAGCAGCACCTCTGGCTTTCACCCACTAGAAGCCAGTAGCAGGAGATAGCTGACATACTCACAATATCCAAATCAATAAAGTTATTGGTGAAAATGAAAATTTTTTTAATGGAAAAAAATGTAATGGACTTTTTGACCATTCCAGTACTTAGGCAGGTGATGGGTTCTATAACTTGGAGTTTGTTGGAGCTTTTGAATAGTTTTTAAAGGTGACGTTGAAACAAAGCAGTTGCACATTGAGTTGGTGTAGTTGGTGTTCACTTTTTTATTGAGAAACTGAAGACTGTTACCATAGTAGGAGGTGGGAGAATACTAGTATCTATCTCAGAGATGCAATATAGAGAATTGTGTAATTCCTTAGTAACTGCTTTTATCGATTAATAGTCAATGTAATCTTTCTAGAACTCACTTTTATGCTTAGTCTGAGCCATCCCAGAGTTTTTCATTTAAGACTACCTACTTTGTAAAGTTGTACCATTGTCGGAGATGCCTCCATAAAGCTTCAGAAAACTTTTTCCAACATTTGAATAGCCTTTTATACCATCTTATTCAGCCTCTATCTGATTTTATAGATTGTCATATATTTTAGTTTTTACCCTTCCATGCTTATATATGTCAATACATATTTGTCACCTTATTGCTTGTCTTACTGATCATTCTATTTACCAGAGTTGTTTGGTTTGCACGGTATCTTTCTTCAGCTAATGCAAGGAAAAATGAACATAGTAGAGGACTTAAGCACACACCATGGCTTTGTATAGGGCCAAAAGAGTGTTTTCTGTATTTTCAAGACTCTCTCACTGGACCTTGCATTTTTTTTGTTGGTTTGGCCACTGAATCACATTTTCCTGTATATTCTGAAAATAGACTGTAATGGTGCTGTCTAGTAGAAGTAAAATGCTCAGAAATGTAAGCCAGAAAATACGTTTTTAAAAAAGTAAAAAAGAAACAGGCGAAATTAATTTTAGTAATTTTAACATTATTTCATCATGTAATTAACATAAAGTTACTAATGTACTATTTTCTCTTTTTTGTACTAAGTCTATGAAATAAGGTGTATATTTTACATTTATGACATATCCTGATTCAGACCCATCGTGTTTAAGGTGCTCAGTAGCTATATGTCACTGTGGGTATTGGATGGGACAGTGCATGCCTCTAACAACTCCTCAACCCATTCGCTAGAATCGCAGAGTAGAGAGTGAATAAGCTTTCGTCCAGTTCTGTACCCTTCTCACTTTACCGAGGGGAAAACCGAGCTTTGTAGAGTTTATGATCTGCCTGAGGATGTCCAGCTAATCCATGAATTAGGTTGGAAAGCCTCCTTGTAGAGCTCTTTTTGATACAGTTAGTAGCCTTTTTTGGATGGCAAATAGCTTGCTTTTCTAGGTGTGTTTTTCACTTCATCACTTTTTTTTTTACATCCCATTCTAAGCACATTGGACTGCTGTCTTCTGACCACATGCCCTGCTTCTTTTCAGTCTATTTCTGTCACCTACTTAATACGTACATAGTACAAATATTAAATTATTTACTATTCAGTGAGTTGGTTACTAATATTTGCTCTGCTTTATAAATGGGTAGCTGAAACACAGACAGATTTTAAGTAACTTTCCAAAGTCATACAGCTAGTAAGGAAGTGGAGGAGCTAGGATTCAAACCTAGGCAAGTCTAGCTCCAGGGTTCCTGTCCTTAACTACCACTGATGCTTCCTCTACGTGGTACAGTCCATGCCTCTTTTGAGCTTTAGCTTAAATGCCAGTTTCTCCATGCAGGGCACTTGGATTCCATAGTCAGAATTAATAGCAATGATTAAAATTTCCATAGTTACTGATAGAAAAGCACCTTCATGTCCATTCTGTTATTTACATACTCCTTGTGATAGGCAGAGTAGATGAATTGGTGAAGTTTAAGTGATTTTTGCCACAGTGACTCAGCAGAGCACATGCCTGAATTAATTTATTACTAAAAATTTCCATTTTTTCTATACTAACCTTTGCTCTATAGCATTTTTATTCCATACATACAATTTTTTTTGCTTTATACTTTTTATTTATTTTATTGTTATTATCTTTATTATTATTATTATTCTATTACAGTTGTCTTAATTTCTTTTCCCCTTTAGCCCTCCTCCACCCAACCCACCCCTCTTTCCCACAGTCAGTCCTCTCTCTGTTGTCCATGTCCATGAGTCATTCATACATGTTCTTTGACTAGACCCTTCCCTTTCCTTCCACCATTCCCCCCTCCTGCCTCCCCTCCTGTTCCCTGTTCCATATTTCAGTGTCTCTGGTTCTTTTTCTAATTAGTTTATTTTGTGCATTAGATTCTAGTTATAAGTGAGGTCATATGGTTTTTGTCTTTTGACAACTGGCTTATTTCATTTAGCATAATAGTTCAGTTCCATCCATGCTGTTGAAAAGGTAGGACTTCTTTCTTTCTGCTGCATAGTATTCCATTGTGTAAATGTACCAGCATTTTTTAACCCACTCATCTCCTTATGCGCACTTGGGCTGTTTCAAACACTTAGCTATTGTAGATAGTGCTGCTATGAAAATAGGGACACAGAAGTTCTTTTGAATTGGTGTTTCAGAATTCTTAGAGCATATTCCCAGCAGTAGAATTGCTGGGTCATAAGGCAGTTCCATATGGAATTTTTTGGAGGAAATTCCATACTGTTTTCACAGTGGCTGCACCAATCTGCATTCCCACCAGCAGTGCAGTAGGGTTCCCTTCCCTCCACATCCTCGCCAGCCCTTGCTGTTTGTTGATTTATTAATAATGGCCATTCTGGCAGGTGTGAGCTGATATCTCATTGTCTGTACATACTACTTAGAGTATGTATTCTGTCTCATATGATATAGCAAGTGTGTCTGTCTCTACTGTTAGACTATAAGCTTCTTGAAGGCCAGGGTCGTATCTTGTTTATTGTATTCTCCACGGTCTTAGATTTCTGCCTTGTATATTACAACCAGTTAAGGTTTGTTGCATCAAACTGTATACTGCTTTACAACAAACTTTTCTTTAAATGTTTCCTGTGTCAAGTACTATTCCCTGTGGGTGCTAGAGGTGGAATCTCATACTTCTCTCTGCTTTTGAGGGGCTCTCAATATAAGAGAGATAAAGAAGTAAGGGAGATAGAGAAGTAAGGAAGATAGAGAAGTAAACAAATGATCATTGCATGGTGTGCCAAAATAGAGGGCTGTCCAGTATATTGGGAATCAGAAGCAGTGTCTAACTCTGAGGACAGAGGTGGTTTTACAGAGGAGGTACCAATAAGAGGATGAGTAGAGTTTACTCAGGTAAAGAAAACAAGAAGGAAAGAACATGCAAATACTATGCACCATGGTATAGTTTAATCCGAAAGAAAGAACATGGTTGATTCAAGGAATTTGAGGTGGTTGGTGTGCCTGGAAGTGGTGCTGGGAAGATGGGCAGAGGACAAATCATGGAAGATAAGGCTGATAAACTTTTTATCTTTTAGGTTGTATGAGGATAAACACTTTGAAATGCTTTTATATTTTAAGGAGAAACACCATACTGTGACTTTTTTGATATTGTTTAAAATACGGCTAACTAAAAAACAAAAGTAGATTCAAATAACTCTATTACAGGAATACACTGTTGTATGTGGTAGGAGTGACAGTGGTATCTGAATGGAGTTTGGGGACACTGCCATAAACAGAAGAGTGCCCTTGAGAGATTCTTAAGAAAGGGACACTGGGTTTTAGAACTATTATGACAACATCGTGGACCATGGATTGGAATGGGACAGGAATTTCATAGAAGCAATAGAGTAGGTGACATGAGAACTTGAAGTAACAAGTGACTCTGATGTTTAAAAGAAAATAAAGAAAGTATAATAGAACCTGTTGACAGTAGGTCTAGGTGATGGAGGAGAGGGAAAAATTTAGTGTAATCTCTTAGTTTCTGGCATGGATTATTTAGTAAATGCTATAACTAGATTAAGGAATGCAAGGGAGTTTGGTTTGGATGATACTAAATTTGAGAGGTAGAAATGTTCAGAAGACTTGCATACACACATTGGGTAGTTAACAAATATTTATTGATTGCCATATGTGCTCCAGGCACTGTTCTAGTAGTATCAAACTCAGGAGGAAGGTCTAGACCAGTGGTTCTTAGCTGGGGGTGATTTTGCACTGGAGGATATTTGGCAATGTCTGGAGATATTTTTGTTTGTCACAGCTGGGGGTGGAGGTTGCTTTGGGTATCTAGTGGGTGTAGAAGGCAGAAATGTTGCTAAACATCCTATAATGCACTAGACAGAAGTCCTCACAACAAAGAATTAATCAGTAGTAGTGCTGAGGTTGAGAATTTAAAACCCAGTGTATTTGAGGGATAACAGGGAATAGGAAGACAGGAGCAGATAATAGAATGGAACCATGAACAAGTTTCTTAAGGAAAAGGTAGGCAAGGGAAATAGGATCTTCTCCTAAGAATGGGGGCCATGAACCCTAATTATTCAAGGATTAGGGATTAATTGGGCACCATGGAAAGAGATAGGTATAATTTGCCTTAAATTTGGGATAAGATTAAGAATCTTGCCTTTTTGGTCAAGTAAGAGTAACCACATTTCCTACAAACCAAGCAACAGAACAAAACCGGAGGGGGAGGGGGGAGCTTCTCCTCCTGTGGCAAGGCTGGCCTGAGGCCACTGTACATAAAGCTAGCTGACATATGCAGAGTTTGTGCTGAGATTTCATGGACTTCTTATTTTTATGTTTGCTTGATAGGGAATTATAAGCTACTGCTGAACTGGAGATATGAGAAACAATGATTTTGGCTTAGAGACTAAATTCTAAATCCTTAGTTGGGACTGCAGAAGTGGCAGTTACAGGAGGCAGCTGTTACTTTATTCAAGTTAGTGTGACTGGCCTCAGGTTAAAGATGGTGCCTGAGTAGTTTACATGTGTTTTCCAGACACTCGCTGGTCTTTGAGATTGGCAGGATTTCACAGTGATGTTTTTTATAGTGTACTGTTACTTTCAGGTCAGTACTGGGGGTATGGAGCAATCTTGCAGTTCAGGAGGCATTGTGGGCTAGAGAGCCAATTATATGAGCGTTCACATTCTGGAACATTCAAATATGGAAACCACGGAGGGTTCCTCAGGAATTTGTGCTTTGATTACTTTCAAAATGTGAATTAAATGATAACTCACTTGGTTCCAAAAGGATATAGAGTGGTTTACAAAGATGCATTCAGTATAGCAAGGTAAATTATATTCAGAGTAAATATAATTATATTCAGGAAGATAAAGGTAGGAAGCCAAGATGGAACCATCAGTGAAAGTGAGAATATACTCTTGTATATAAAATAAAAGCTCTGATGATCAGGTTACTTCTTTGAAATTAGGCCCCAGGCTTTCTGGGAGGCTACTGAAAGAAGAGAACTGATCAATTAAAAAAATCACAGAGTCACTGTGGCTGGGTAGTGCAGTTGGTTAGAGCATTGTCCTGATACGCCAAGGTTGCAAGTTCTGTCTTCGGTCAGGGCACATACAAGAATCAACCAGTGAATTCATAAATAAATGGAACAACAAATTGACGTTTCTCTTTCTCTCTCTCCTTCCCTTGCTCCCCCTTCCTCTCTCTTTAAAAGCAAAGCGACATTTCTCTCCTGGGTCCTCCTTGAGGGCGACTGTTCAATCACAGTATTCTGTGTACCTTCTTTGTAGCCTACACAGTGACAAGTATAGAGAGGACCATCTCCTACAATGTCCCTTAGCACAGGTCGATAGCATGACATTAAAGTGCAGTTTGGGAAGAAGCAATTGGGAAAGGAGGGCAAGTACAATACAGGGTAACAACAGAACTCTTTAGAGGACAATCTGAGTTTAATTCAAGGTGGAGTTTATAGTGGGTTTGTTTGGGTAACATTTTAATAACATCTTTTAAAGGGGTGTAATAAGTGCAGCCCTCAAATATATAAGTAACCAGCACTGTCCTGGGAATGGGCCATTATTAATAGAAAGATCGGCATTGTAGGAAATAGAGAACTTTTCTCTCCCAGAAATGCACTGTGGAAAGAAGAGTGGGAGATGAGCTTCTTCAGTGGCTTTTGTCGGGATGTGTTGGAGGAAAGATTTAAATTGTATTCATAGTATGTGCTCTGATCTTCAGTGATGGAAGTTAGGACTCTTCTTAAAAGATGTGAAATCTGAAAGGAAGTGTGAATAGGACAAGTGTCTGACAACATGCAGGTCTCATATTAACAAACAGAAAACTCTGCCCACTTCTGAACAAATTGCAGCAAAGCACTTCTAAAAATACCTTGGTGGAACTCTCTTTGAAAAGGTTTGGTGAGTGTATCTGAAAAAATATTTCAAGTATTATTTGAATAAGGCATTATATCTAAGAAAGGTAGGTAAGGTCCTGAGATGGTACTTGAAAACATCCCTGTATTGCCCTCGCAGGGTGGCTCAGTTGGTTTATTGTAATCCATCCCTGGTCAGGGCACAGACCTAGGTTATGGGTTTGATCCCCGGTGGGGAGGCAACCAATTGATGTTTCTGTCTCACATCAATGTTTGTCATCAATGAAAGCATGTCCTTGAGTGAGGATTAAAAAATATATAACTGTGTAGTTTTATTTTAAAAATTGTACAGTAGCAGAAAAAAAACATTTTTAAGGTATTAACTGCTACTTTATGAAGCTAACTTAAAAAAGGCAATGCTCTTTATTCTGGCAAAATGAGGGAAAAGAAGGTGGTGATAGAAAACTATTAGAAAAATATGTGCCAAACATGGCATATTCATTCTTTGGAGCTAACCTTAAGATACATGAAAGTGACTTAGGGTTTTAAAAAATGCAAATAGTAGGTCATAAATTTCGGAAGCTAATTACTGTAAACATAATCCCATAATCATCAAAGGGCAGTTTCCTTTCCTATCAAACAATGTAAGTATTAGTTCTTATTTTTTTGTCATATGATCTTTAATTTTAATATTGTAGTAAAAGATTGCATTTTGTCTTTTCTTCTTACAGCGGCTATGTGACTATGTCTGTGACCTCCTCTTGGAAGAGTCAAATGTTCAGCCAGTATCAACACCAGTAACAGTGTGTGGAGACATACATGGACAGGTAAAATTTTATGAGCAGATTTTTAGCTTTGTTCTGTCCATAGTTCATGTGCACACATGTCTACTTGTACTGCAAAGAACGGTCAAACAAAAAACATCAGTTGGGGGTGGTTGGCTAGGTTACCTCAGTCTGTATGACACGATTCCTGGTTACTGTTACAGCAAATAAAAGCAGTGGTCAAATTATTCATGGAGCTTGTTGAAATTATACTTGCAAAGTAAATAGAAAGCAGCCCTGTTGTTCTGGGGACAGGGAAAGATAATAAACACAAATGTGGACTGCTCATAGTTATTATGACTAATAGGAGATGCTTTGGTTTTAGGCACTAATTTTCTATTCATTCTATTCTCTCCTGTCATATTTTGTTGAAAATTTCTCATTTCTTTAGTGGGATTGAGAATAGCAAAGGTTCAGAAAGAAAACTGTTGGTGCATGATTTCATAACAAGTCACTTCTAGGATGGGATGAGAGGGATTTAGTTCATTTATTGTTTTCATCTGATGACTTTTGTTTTTAAGAGTTTCAAGGCAGGATGGGCACACCTCATCTTTAGGCTCTCACTGTCAATGTTTAGCCCAGTGTGTTTATGAAGTTTTGTGTGTTTTTTTTTTTTATGGCAGTGAAAAGTGAACTGATCACTCTTGGTTGTATGCATACAGTGGAGTTGAGGCTACAAGACATACATGCATTGTGAACAATATAATATTTAAGAGTATTAACAATAATTACTGTCTTACATACAGCTTCTCTGACTTACATATGACTGCCTAAAAGAGCAGAAATGTGAGTAAATTGGTTGTGGTTGAGGGCTGCTCAATGAGTGAAGCCCTATTTTACTACTTAAAGGGCTCTTTTTGGCTTTTCAATCTGTTCTCTGAATGGTTGAAATTATAAGAACTCTGACAGCTGCATATTCTCAGCTTCTAAACAGAGTCCCCATTATGTCATCTGTAATCTGTTAGTAGATTTTAGGAGTGGATTTCTTAAAATTTCTATGTAACTTCTCTCCAAAAGATAATAAACATTTGTATTTTGCTGACATAAACTTCTTTAACACATTTCTAAAAGCTAGAATAAACTAAGCAGTGTTTGCCTCTACTTATATTAAAATTGAGGGATTATTAAGAACTTTTCAGTGTATGAGTTACAGTCCTGTTCAAAGATCAGGAAGTTAGAGACAACTTCTAATTACAAAAATTAAATTAAAAAAATTGTACTTCTATATCATATGTGCACCTTCAGCCCAATGTACAATTCTTGCTAACATTTATTTTATGCTTTGAGGTTAACAAAGTCTTTTTTCCCATGTTTCATTTAAAATTTTTTTCAGAAGTCCTATAAGATTGGATCATTTTATAGAGAAGCAAACTGAGACTGAAAGATTAAAGATTAAACTTTGAGAGCCCTAAAGGGACAGCAGAGATTTGAAACTCATTGGGGTGCCCAGTAGCCTATGTTAATTTAAGACTACCACCAGACTGTGAACATTGTTTCTCTTGTAACTGATCCTTTGAAACAATTGCTGATCAAAAGCATGAGACTTGTGGAGCTTCTAACCCTAAACTAAATGTAAGATGTGTCCTTTGGGCCTTGTATGGTTGTCTTTCCCTTGGGCAGTTCTGGAATTGTGGGATTGGGTTATGAGTATAACTAAACATGCTAGCAGACATCTATGGCTGTCCTTCGGTATCCTGAGGAGATTTGCTCCAGGACCTGCCACTCAAATCCTGGGGTGCTCCAGTCCCTTATATAAAATGGCCTGGTTATTTGCATATAACCTATGCATATCCCCCCATATGCTTTAAAGCTAGATTACTTATAATACTTAATAAAATGTAAATGCTATGCAAATAGTTGATTAAAGAATAATGACAAGAAAAAATAAGTCTGTACATGTTCAATACAGACACAGTCATTGTAGGCCTAACTATATGGCATATGTCAGCAGAAACATAACTTCCCTCCCCTCTGCTCCCAGATGTGTTCGATTTGCTGTTGGTTGAATGGGGTTGAGTCTGCCATACAGAATCCAGAATCTGCAGATAAAAATGGCCAACTGTAGTGCTGAGAGGCAGTGAAGCAGTGTAATTTAGTGAGGAAATGGTAGACTTCAGTATCAGACAGAGTTTCCTTTAAATCCTGACCTGGCTACATAATAGCTGTTTCAGAAGCCACTTAAACTAGCTCATAAGTTCTTTAAGTATGGCTTGTGTATTCTTGAGGGCCCCTACGGTGTCATAGAATCAATTGAGGGTAAGTAAAACTGCTGGTACCTCAGAACAAATCAAGAGAGTAGCACCAGACCATGCTGGTTGTCATTGTCTTCTGTACCAGCATGCATGCACAATGAAATAGAATACCACTATCATATTAGATCATTCTCCATGAAGTGGTGATATTAATTGTAACTTGCAGCCCTGAGTAGATACTTCTTAAAATTTTTTTTTATTGTTGTTCAATTACAGTTGTCCCCATCCCCATTTTTTCCCCCTTTACGCTTACCTGCCCTACCCACCCCTTACCTCCCACCTCCCATATTCAGCACCCCCTCCTCATTGTCTTTGTCTCTGGGTCCTTTGTACCTGTTTCTTTCCTTGACTTTCCCCCTCCCCCCTCTCCTCAGTCACTACCAGTTTGTTCTTTATTTCCAAGTCTTGGTTCTATTTTGCTCACTTGTTTGTTTTGTTGATTAGGTCTTTTGAACGTGATGAACTAGGAAGTCTGCATAAAGCACATCTGCTGCATACCAAAGAAAGAAGGCTTGCTCAAGGAAAAGTGCTTGTGCAGTTCTTTGTACTGCGAGCTGGGTAGCCTCTCTTTTTAGGGAACACTATTTTTACTTGAGAGGAGGGATGACTAACTATGGATATTTGGCAGCCATTTTTGTAAAAGTGAAGGAAGTACTGAGCCAGTTACTTTAGGGAACACAATTGATAGTATTTGCGGCCATTGCCAAAATTTGAGTTTTCAAATGAAAAATCGGAATTTTAGATTTGAGTCCACCACCATGAAGTTAACACCTAATATTTAAAGACTTTTCTGATGAGACAAGTGATTATAATAATCTATTAATCAATAAGGCTTTTGATGATGTGTAATGAAATGTTATTTCCATGTTATCCACTCAGTGTTGCACCAATCAATCTGAGTATGATAAGACCACTTTGCAAGTTTTGATATATTTAAAAAAAGAATATGCACCATTATCTCTAAAGGCGATTAAAATAATCCTTCCTTTTATAACATATTTGTTAACACAGATGGATTTTCTTCATATACTTAAATCACTCTAACCCAACAGACTGCAGAAGCAGGGAATGAGAGTCCAGCTGTATTGTATTTAGCAAGACATAAAAGAGATTTGCAAAAATGTACAACAGTGCCACTCTGCTCATTCAGTTTGTTTTGTTTTGGGAAACAGTTTATTTTTTCATTAAAATATATGTATGTTACTATTTAATGAAGTATTGGTTTTTAACATGAATTTTTAAGTGACCTGTTTTAATTTGTAATATAGTAAATACTGAATGATACAATCTACATAAATAAAAGCTTTCTAGCAACCTCTAATTTTTAAGACTATTAATGGGTTCTGAAACTAAATAATATTTTAAAAACTACTGAGCTAGCCAAACTACTGTTTCCTTGCCTTCAATGATGGAATAAAATCTACTTCTCAGGATTCGTTTTGTTTTAAAATGAGAATATTTACTGATTATGGTATGAAAAACACATAATAGATGGTAGAAATTATTTGTGAAATGATAAGATGGACTTTTAGTAATGTAGGGCAATGTTAATTATCTGTACATGTTCTCAGTAAATGTTTATTAAATAATTTTGGGAAAAAACTTTCAATATAGAGTAGGAACTATGCATCCCAGAAGCAGAATTTTTGTCTATTAAACATACATAGGGGCCTGGCTGGTGTAGCTCAGCGGATTGAGCATAGGCCTGTGAAGCAAAGGGTTGCTGGTTCGATTCCCAGTCAGGGCACATGCTTGGGTTGCAGGCCAGATCCCCAGTAGGGGACACATGAGAGGCAATCACACATTGATGTTTCTCTCCTGCACTTTCTCCTTCCCTTCCCCTCTCTCTAAAAAAAACAAACAAACAAACAAACAAACAAACAAAAAACCATACATAGAGTACATGGAAACTTATAAAGCTTTTTTTCAAGAACATATTTTTATAAATATCAGTAGAAAAGTTTAAGTTCACTAACTCTTCCACCACACTTTTATGAAAGCAACTGTTTTGTAAAGCTTTTTATGTTCCTTTCCTGACTGTGTGTGTGCATATTCAGGTTTTATATAGTAAAGTTGTGTAGTTACATTGTACGTATAGTTTTGTGTTCTGTTCTTTTTCCTAATTATTTTTCCATTTTGCTACATAGTTCTCATTATAATCATTATTCATGACCACATGCAGTCCCAGTCCTTGAGTTGGTAGATACTTTATTAAAACAGTTCCTAATGTTAATCATGAAGCTTTTTTTGTTGGTATTCTGAAAGCTGTTGTAACACATTTTTTGTATATTTACACAGATTTATTTTTTGCCTTTAGGATATAGTCAAGAGAAGAGGAATTAGTAGGTCAGAATTGTACACACATGTACATATATCTATACACTGAGAGTATGTATATGAAGTCTGTCTAGAGGGTATGAGCCATGTAATATGAAAAGTAGAGACATTTATTGAAGAAGATACAAGGACCATTGCACATAGGATGATGACACCTCAGTCTCCTTCAAAGTAGGCGCCTTGGGACCTCACACAGTTCTCCCAATTGCCATCAGCCACCCTATCGTATTTTCTTGAATCTCATAGATGCTCAGAAATCTCTTCCCTTTCAAAGATGAATTTAGTTTTGGGAAAAGTCAGAAGTCACAGGCCACCAAATCTGGGCTGTAACAGGCCTGAGTCACCTGGGTGATTTAATGTTTTGCTAGTAAACTGCACCAGACGTGCGTGATGAGTGAGTGGGCATGTTGTGACAGCTGCCAATCACCAGTTTCCATAGCTGCGGCCTTCTGAATCACCGGAATAGTTTCTGTGGAGGAATGTTCAAGCTTAACGCAAACTTTAATGTAGATTCATTTCTCCACTTGCTAAGTCATTTTGAATGTGATGGCCACACAGTACACATGCTCACTCAGTGGCATCTACCACCCCTACTGACTAGTACAGTGAAGTCATCATTGTTCACACATGCAAGTTCTAGTCCACTCTCCTTGAACATTGTCGCATGAGCTGTTCTTATTATATTAAAAACGGCTGGACTTTTTTCAGACAGGCAATGTATATATAGATATATAGACATTTCCTTTTTACTGCTTATACTGTGTGTGTGTCTGTCAAATATGTAGAGTGGATATGCCTAAACATATCATATTCCTTTAAAGGGAGGGAGGGACTCTACATAGTAGAAATGAACAGCAAATATTTGGGGGAAAAAAGTCTTCCACTTGACTGAGATTGAACATTTGTGTTACTTGTGTCTTAATTTTAAGAAGATTGGAGAATTATATTTTAAATTTTCTAAAGTTTTACTTAAGCAAGTAATAACCCTTTAGACTTACGAAAGTATTATAAAGGGGAATGCTTTATTTGAGTAATTAACTGTTAAATTTCAGTTTTATTCACTGTTACCAAGATTGTTATACTCTTTTGAGTATTAGAAATTTAAATAATTATTTTATTTTCAAGTGTAAAAGATAAGTGTGTAGGAAATTATTGGTTGTAATTGGTATAGTTTATTACAGTCAATTCCTTTAATCCAATTTTTTTTTTCAGAAAAATTGAAGTTTTCTTTAAGAATTAGATTAGGGTAATCTAGCTGATTGAAGTTACCAAATGTACTATTAGTCATTTACTAATTTTCAGTCAAATAGAATATGGTGAAATGTACAATTCTGTTTTTACCTGTTGCTGAGAAGACACTGTATCTGTGGACTCTGAGGGTACATATTTCCAACAGTAGAGTGTGGGAGGGTAGATCGATCTGTTCTTCATGGCCTAATGTGTCAGGTAAGTTTATTCTTTGAAAGAAAATTTTTAAAAGATTTTATTTATTTATTTCTATACAGAGGGGAGGGGAGGGAGAAAGAAAAGGAGAGAAACATCAGTGTGTGGTTGCCTCTCACACCCCATCTACTGGGACCTGGCCCGAAACCCAGGCTTGTGCTCTCACTGGGAATCAAACCAGCGGCATTTCACAGGCAGGCATTTAATCCCCTGAGCCACACCAGCCAGGGCTGAAAGAAATGTTTACCTACATGTTTCCTTTTACTTCATTGAAATGGATGCTGAATATGTAAAGGGATGGTTAGGTTGCTTTATTGACAAGCTAGGTAACTGGTAAGTTAAATGATTTCAAAATCTCAGGTGATGGGTGAGGAGATGTATGAAAGACATTTGAGAGGGAGGCCTGCAGCATTGGTGATCTAGGAGTGGTTTTAATGGCTTCAGTGGCGCTTTGTTGTAATGTCTCTCTTTTGGAGGGATTGGGAGCTGCATCCTTGGCAGTTTTGCTTATACTTATTTTAAATTAATGTAAATATTTGAAGTCCTCTTAATTAACTACACACATTTTGTTCCCAGTTTTATTATTTTACTCCTTCCTAGAAATCTCTGATCAACATTACTGCCTTTCTTTTATAGTTTTATGACCTTTGTGAACTCTTCAGAACTGGAGGTCAGGTTCCTGACACAAACTACATATTTATGGTATGTAAACACCAGTGATATCAAGTACTTATTTAAAAATAAAAAGATCTATCCCATTACATGTAAATTACAAAGTAATTTTTGCCATATGATGACTTTAAATATTTGAAAAGGTGATTCTATATTTTTCTACATTTTTCCTTGTCCTCTAGTTGAGAATAAATGCTTTAGTAAATTGCTATATACATAGGACTGGGTTGTAGCCCTCAATAATGGTTGGGATGAAAAATATCCCAGAAGTGCTACTTGAAGGCATAAATCTTCACTCTTATTTTACCAGACTTTTTTGAGCATTCATTTTTATCTGTTATTAATCCGTGGATTGATGAATATACACACTTGGTATTAAAAATCACATCTACTTAACTTTTCTTCCAGAATGTAATGTTACTCTTTTACTTTTTCTGAATCACTCTGTCATGTTTCTGTCCTATGAAAGTTTCTGTGTCACTTTCCTATTATTTTTTTATCTGTTTTCGTATTGGTCTAATATTGGCCTAAGTGAAACATTAATGGGCATGTCATCATATGCCATTGTTAAATACTGAGCTGAACCTGGAACACTTATAATTGTGGTATTTGCTTCTATAAAATAACGCTGTTTTCTTCAAGTTGGCAGCTCTTCTGATACAGTTTAAATTATTTTTGAAATTTATTTTTAAATTTGGATGATTTTTTAAAAAATATCTGTTAATGTAGGTAATAGAAAATTGGAAAAATGGTGGTTTTGCAGGGAAAATCATTGAGAGAATTGTACTGGAGGTACCTGTAGGCCTCTTAAATCGTAGACTAGCACTAACACTTAGTAAAAATAGCCCATTTATTTCCATTTGAATTTTTGTGAAAACTCAGTTTTCAAATAATTCAGTGTATAACTCCCCATTTTTTTTATTTTGGGTTGTCTCTGAGTTTGTGAAGTTTGGTATAATTTTTTTAAATATTGTTGCTATTAAATTGTTTATAACTGTAAACTTTTACTTTACAGGGTGATTTTGTAGACAGAGGTTACTATAGTTTGGAGACCTTCACTTACCTTCTTGCACTAAAGGCTAAATGGCCTGATCGTATTACACTTTTGCGAGGAAATCATGAGAGTAGACAGATAACACAGGTGTATGGATTTTATGGTAAGACCTTCTATTTTTGTGATTCTGAATATTGTTTTACTTTTCTCTTTGGGGGGAAAAAACCACACAAGTCATACATGTGCTTTATAGTAAAATTAGAAAATACATTTTTTTCTGCCTTCTCACTTCTTTAACTTCCTTTCTTCCTCTCTCTCACTTTCTTTAACTTCCTCTCTCAGTCAGTGGAAAATCTTTCCTGGAGAGAGAACTATTCTTAACTTTGTGGTCTGTATCTTTTTATTGGGTTGGCCAAAAAGTCCATTACATTTTTTCCATAATATAAAAGACACATTTTCAGTTTCACAAATAACTTTATTGATTTTGATATTTTGAGTATGTCAGCTATCTCCTGCTATTGGTTTCTAGTGGGTAGAGGCCAGGGGTGCTGCTGAACATCTTCCAGTGCATAAGACAGCCCCACAGCAAAGCATTATTTGGCCATAATGTCAGTAGTACCAAGAAAGTTTGCAAACCACTTCTGACATGTTTGGTCAGTCTCAGCACCACCTCCATATACTGCACAAATCTTTTTATTGTGTTTCAGTTATGTTTTTACCTTTCTTGAAATAATAAAGCATAATATGTTGAAATAATTGTGTATCTTCCATCTTCAATATTAAAATAGTTGTACAAATATTCACCTGTCTTGATGTTTTTTAATGCACGCTTGATATGACAGCTATCACAATCTAACAAAAATCTTTCAAATGAAGTAAAAGGCAACTTTCAAATGAACTAAGGACGACTAGAGCCATTGTCTGGAAAAACCCAAATGAACTTTTTGGCCAGCCCAATAGATCAGTGCCTCAAAGTGTAGTCTTCAGTTTACCTCATTGGAATCATCTGGGGTGCTTGTTAAAAACATAGATTACTAGGATCTCCCTGCAGATCTTTCGGCATTGGATCCTTGAATCTATTGAAGGTGAATGTTCTGCACACTCAAGTTTGAGAATCTGTTCTAGATATATGTACATGTTTGTGTGTGTTTGTTCTATACATATATGTGTGCACCTACACACCACAGTAAAATGAGATCACACCTGTTTAAGTTGCTGTTGTATGCATAGCTGAATGAATATCCTTTTACACATATGAGGTCTTTCCGCAAAAAGTCCAGCCACTGTTAACGTGACAAGAACAGGTTGTGCAACAGTGTTCAAGGAGAGTGGACTGGAATGCACATGCATGAACAATGACAACTTCACTGTACTAGTCAGTGGGAGCTGTAGTCGCCCGTGAGGGAGCATGTGTAGCATTTGGCTGTGGCATTCAAAATGACTAAGCAAGTAGAGCAATGAATCTGCATCAAAGTTTGCATTAAGCTTGAACATTCTTCCAAGGAAACTATTGGATGATTCAAAAGGCCGCAGCTATGGGCAACTGGTGATTGGCAGCTTCATCACAACAACGTGCCTGCTCAGGCATCATGTGTGGTGCAGAGTTTTTGGCAAAACATGAAATCAGCCCGGTGACTCTGCCACCCTACAGTCCAGATCTGGCGCCCTGCAACTTCTGACTTTTCCCAAAACTAAAATCACCTTTGAAAGGGAAGACATTTCAGACCATCTATGAGATTCAAGAAAATATGATGGGGTGGCTGATGGCGACTGGGAGAACTGTGTGAGATCTCCAGGTGCCTACTTTGAAGGGGACTGAGGTGTCATTGTCCTGTGTACAATGTTTCTTGTATATTCAATAAATGCCTCTATTTTTCATATTAAATGGCTGGATACTTTCTGGACAGACCTCGTGTGTGTATGTGTGTGTGTGTATACACACACACATAAGTTCATATATATGATATCCCAAAGATCCATGAATATGTTTTTACATATATATATATATAAATGTTACATATATAAAATCTATGCCCTTGCTCCAGAGAATCTCAGGACCTCAGAGATTAGAAACAATTCAGCCATTAAAGCAAAATAGCTGCTTTTATAAACACTTCTGTATGGTTGCAGGTTTTAATGAAGAAGGTTAAGAAGTTCTTTGAAGAAGAATCATTGAGATTATTAATATGAATTTTCTCACCCATAATTAGGGCATATATTGAAAGATTTGATAATTTTACAACCCTTTAGTTTTAGATTTTTATTTTGAATATTCCATTTATATTTTTGTCAGTGTAAAGATAAACTGAACTCTCTTACTAATTTAGGCTGAATTTCTTTTGTCCGAGTATTTAATGTATTCTTTATTTTTATCGGCAGACTCAGAACTGCATTTACTGAGATCTCTCCTGTTTCTTTTATAGATGAGTGCCAAACCAAATATGGAAATGCTAATGCCTGGAGATACTGTACCAAAGTTTTTGACATGCTCACAGTGGCAGCTGTAAGTTTATATAAATCTTTTTAAAACCTCAAGTATTTTCTTACCAGTAGCACTTTGTATACTTTTATCTAATTGCTATTTTAGTTATATTGATGTTATTAGTATTCATTCATGAATTTAGATGTGACTGAGTTTATTATTGTATGTTCAACTCTATCTTTTTTGTTAGTTAATAGATGAGCAAATTTTGTGTGTTCATGGTGGTTTATCTCCTGATATCAAAACACTGGATCAAATTCGAACCATTGAACGGAATCAAGAAATTCCTCATAAAGGAGCATTTTGTGATCTGGTTTGGTCAGATCCTGAAGATGTGGATACTTGGGCTATCAGTCCCCGAGGAGCAGGTTGGCTTTTTGGCGCAAAGGTCACAAATGAGGTAAAGCCAACATTTTCAGAAAAGTAATTTGTTGGTTGCTAGTGACTAAAGAATTACGGTGGCAGTAAACAAACTTCTAGCCTAGTTTACTTTAACTGTGGTGGTTATGGTTATCAAATTTCTCATGTAGGTATTTCCTCATGAGATAAAGCAAGTGTAAGATAGGCAACTTTAAAAAAATATATTTTAGTCCTGGCTGGTGTGGCTCAGTGGATTGAGCACTGGCCTGCAAACCAAAGGCTTGCTGGTTCGATTCCTAGTCAGGGCACATGCCTGGGTTGTGGACCATGTCCCCAGTAGGGGGTGCATAAGAGGCAACCACACATCGATGTTTCTTTCCCTTTCTTTCTCCCTCCCTTCCTCTCTCTCTAAAAATAAAATCAATTAAAATAATCTTTAAAAAATATATTTTAATATTTACATTTTTAATTGTGCTATGATTAACATGTCATATTAATTTGAGGTGTACAACATAATGACTTCATATATGTATATATTGTGAATAAGCAACTTTTTGAGGTTCAACTATTTCCACGCACGCATACCCACACAGGTGACTATATTGGGAAGTAATCAACATGGAATCAGAGAGAGCTGGGTTCAGAATAACTTGTTACTTACCTTGTCTGAATTTCTGTTCCCTTAAATTGCAGAAGAAGGGTAATAAATCTCTGGCAGAAGTTCTGTAGGAACCATACTAAGCCCTCAGTAAATTAGAGATATGGTAGCAATATATTTACTATTAAACCATAAAAACTTTGTTTCATATCTGATAGTACTTGTAGAATGCTTTTCTTCCAGAAACTTCTAATTATGTGGCTGTGCGACTTCTAAAACTTAATAGACTTGGGCCAAACTTATTGAAGTTTGTATAACTTGTGTTTGTATAAGTTGTACAAACATAAGTTACACAAACTATAGCTTATAACTTAATAAAATTATTGGGGTAACTGTAGAATGGATTTTATAATCATAAGAACTGTATTTAGTAACAGGATTTATACTTTATGTAATTGTTTATTTAGGTTGGTTTTTTAAAAAGCAATATGTTGGATACTTAACAACACCTTTCTAAATTGCAGTTTGTTCATATCAACAACTTAAAACTCATCTGCAGAGCACACCAACTAGTGCACGAAGGCTATAAGTTTATGTTTGATGAAAAGCTGGTAACAGTATGGTCCGCTCCTAATTACTGCTATCGTTGTGGAAATATTGCTTCAATCATGGTCTTCAAAGATGTAAATACAAGAGAACCAAAGTTATTCCGGGCAGTTCCAGATTCAGAACGTGTTATTCCTCCCAGAACAACGACGCCGTATTTCCTTTGAGGCCTTAGCCCATCCTGCTGACCGGTCACATTTTTCTGCCCTCTTCTTATCCCAACTTTTGTGTATTACCCTCTATAATATACTTTTTATTGAGCACTTTGCTGCTGAAATGCTGCCTCTTGCCTTTTTTTTAATTTTAAATTATCTAAATTTATTGTTTGTTATGGTGTTTATAGCAATGTTTTCCTATCAGTTTTCTCCCCCATCCCATCCCCACCTTGGACTCATCTGAGAAGACTTGAGAAATGTCTTAATACTCATACTGCTGCATGTAGCTCTTGCTTATTTACTGGTCTGGGGGAAACAAGATGTGTTTCCTTTTTATAAAAAGCCAATTGACAGAAAAGACTACACTGAAATACTCCTCCTTTTGTATCATTCAGCCTTTTGTTTTAGTTTGGTAAGTTTTAAGAAATTTCAGCAGCAAAGTTGTTATTCAGTGGGCACGATGGACTGCAATGCCTAGAGTTATGTATACTTGTCCCAGCTGTAAACTTCATTGTCCTTTGTTGGATGATATTTTAAATGGATAAAAATAAATTGGTCTAAAGGGCTGCCCTCCTTGTTGTGTTTTTAAATTTCAGTTAAAAACTGCTACAGTTTATGACTTTGTACATTAAGATAATTGTATTGATCTTTTTTCAGATTCCTTGTATTTTTTAATAAAGTAATCTTAAAATCCAGATAGGTTAAAGTGTTAGAAATTTTAAACAGCTTACATTGTTAGCTTAAAGTTATTCTTTTTTTTTTAAGAGTTCTTGGCCCTTTGGTTATTGAGTTTAAAACTTCAACTGAAATTCAGTACTATTTATTTAAGAAAAAAAAATCACTAAACTGTGCCTAAAAACATAACTGCCATATTAATGTTTTGGTTTATATCCTCTATAGTAATAGAAAAACATTTAATACTTGTAATACTGATGTGTTCATTTGATACCAGTTGAGTAGAATGTGATCAATCCAGTTTACAATCTATCATGAGTATCATTAAGTAAAATCTATGTACTTTTCAATAGGAATCATTCTCTTGCTGTAACACTTGACCTTAACTTTTAGAAAGTGTTCATTTTTTAACTGCAACTGGAAAGGTTGAAAAGTCAGGACTCTTCTCTTGTACTTGTGAACTGTAATCTGAAGCAGGTTTTAAAAAATGTAGAAGGAAACAAATTGTCCTTTTTTGTAAAGGTCTGTGAATTATGTTTCGGCTTTGTGTAAGTAATTTGAATATCCAAAGGGTTGTGATGATCAGTTCTTGATATGCAATGTCCACTAATAAGGACAAGTGTTCCAGTGTCTCTTATGACTGTGGTCATAAATGATGTTGGAATTTACCATTTTGTGAAATAGTTGGTATCATTTTATTACTAGAATTAATTTTTGTCATTCCAGGAAATCTTTGTGAAGCCAGCCAACTAATAAAGCACTTTAGCATCTGTTCAGGTAGTTTTGAAAACCAACTTTTCCCCTTCAGGATAAGAACTTCCAGGTTATCTAAAAAATGCAATAAAAGTCTTTATAGTCTATGCTTCTTGGAACATAATTTTTCATCAGGGTTTTCTTTTATTAAATGAGCACAACACTTGCAATTTTTCCCCCGATCACCCAGCTACTTGTGTAATTTTTAATTGTATAGCTGTGTGAAAGAAGTGGCTGAGACCTTTGCTGCACACACTTGAACTGTTGGGTCAGTAGCTTCGTGTCATTGCCCTGACCCCAGTGTAATTCAGGGGGAAAGGTATTAATCTTACAGGGATGTGTAGCTATGTATTTTGCTAATTGTTAAACACTGGAACTTAATGATGCAGACAACTTGGTGTGGTGTTTGAACAGCTCTCTGCGGTATTTTTTTCTGTTACCATCAATTGTATTGAAGTGCTTGCTCACCTCTGCTTTTAAGTTGTACCAATAAAACCAGTAACCCTGAGCCCTCCCTTCCCATCTGACACTCCCTAGCTTAGATTGGTGTCGTTGTTTTAGTTATCCCCGTAATGTGACTTTTATTTTTAAGTCATGGTGTACCGCATTTGTTTGTCACTAGTTGGGCAAGTGCCAATAATGTTCTGTCCATTCCTTAACTGCCATCTTTGTTCTGCCTGATTTTTTTTCTCTCCAACTGAATAATGGCTTTTTGCATGGAAAAAAATAGTTTTTACTATTAGACATGTAAAGGGAAGAGAGAGTGAATGTATTGGACTTTGTAAGCCTAAAAGGAATATTTGGGTTCCTCTGCTGAATAAGGGCTATGTACTATATAGAGTAATCAGGTGGTGGAAGATACTTGCAAGTCATAGGTTTGTAGGCAGAAGGATCTGTTACTCCCTGTATCCAGGCTGAATGTAAAATCCCTTATGTTGTGTTAATGGGGGTAATAACTATTTTTATTTGCCTATGATATACTTGGTTTTTAATAAAGTATCCTAGGCTCTAGTGAGAACTGTCTACTTTAATTGCCAATCACTCCCTTTCCTTACTTGCCTAATATAGTCTTGGCTAGCTTTTTATAGATTAGTGCTTTTTCCTGAAATATCTCACCATTTGAAATGTGTTTCTTTGGGTGTGATCCTAAAAAGCCTGGATCAAGAGCACCTAACACGCGACCTGCACCAGCTCCTACTCCGTCTGGATGTCTAGAACTGTTGGAAGATTTTGACGTCTTAAATTCTGGGTTTTGCTTTTGAAATAAGGTTTGAAATATTATTGTCGCATTAAGATTTGTGTGTTTTTGCTTTGTAAGCCCAGCACCAGGTTTTGGAAAATGCCTGTATTGTGAAAGCAAATCTAAACTTTCTGAGCCTCTTTCATTGTGAGTAGTAGAATTACTTTACATGAGCCTCCAGAAAATTGTGTACCTGGAGTTGAAGAGATTTAATAGCAAGAATCCAGATTTTTAAATGTACTTGTTTTTTAACTGCTAATGTTTGTAAAGCACCTTTAGTTCTTTGGATGAAAGGTGCTATATTCTCAGTGTAAATTAATAAAAGTGTTATAGGAAGTTTGTCAGAAAATTTTATCTAATGCATAGTCTGTAGTGTGTCCTGACAAGAAGTTAGCATTTTATATAACACAATTTAAATTAAAAATGCTTATTCCTTCACTTGGTTGCTTGACTAGTAAACAGAAGTGAAACTTTCTTGTTTCGCACTTGACTCTGAGCTAAATGTTCATCCTTTAAAGGCATCATCGTTATATCCTGGGTCTGCACCCTGAACCATGCTTCATGAGATCGTCACAGATTTTTTGGTTGTGTGTTTACAGTGTGCGGTCATGCTGAGGAAATAATGCAGTAGTAAAATACCAAGAAGCATTCGCAAAGCCCCCTAGCATGATGCCAGACACAGCTGATGCCTGAGGGAGTTTGGTTCCTTATTCCCCTCTTACTAATGTGTGCCTTACCCCTGTGAGAGTATGCTTATGCTGGCTTAGATCATTCAAGTGTTTTTTTGTTGTTGTTGTCGTTAATCAAAAATGCATAAAATTTATGAAGATTTTATTTTGTGTGTGTGTCAGCAAAAATACTTATTATGTAAGTACATTCCACTTAGTCTGGGGGCACCCACTGTTGTTCTTAGCAGCCTGCTTTTGTGTGCAAATGGGAATGGGATAGAGCAGACTGCCTGGTGGTATTGTGAAATAGTGGAAAACATAGGCTTTGTGATCAGATGGAGGTAAAAACCCTAACCATGCCTGGCAGCTAACCTGTATTGAGCACACTTAGCTAAATGTTGTGATACGCTATTTCGTGGTACCCTTACTATGGTTCTATGAGAATATATTACTTTTTTTTTAATCAGATGAGTAAACAGTTACCTAAAGAGGATGGGTAACTTGCCCAAGGTTGAGCAGGAGAGCTGGAACTTGAATCTCTGCTGGGCATACCAAAATACATCTTAAGTCCTATCACATAAATTTTAGGCAATATTTGTTATTGTAGCTCTGTGACCCTAAGCAAGTTGGGTTTTCTGAATCTTGAAATTCTGTGTCTCTTCGGGATACATACAGGCTTGTTAACAGGATTAAAAAGCACTCATAAAACTCCTAGTCCTTGGCCCAAAGCTACTATTTATTGAGTACTTATTGATACACCATTTGTCCTAATTCATTGTAGTTGGGAAGTAATAACCCAAGGCAATATGTAGTTGTTGACATAGTAAAGCTTATGTTAGTACAACAAATTTGGAGAAGGAAATGTTTGATGTAGGGTGGAGTAATCAGGAAAGGCTTAAAAGAGGAAGTATGAATTGAATGTGGACTGGATGATGGGATGTGTATTTCTCATATAGTAAAAGCAGAGATTACTAGAGTTTGGACACAACAAAAATACGACTTGAGGGTACTTTGGACAGCGTGCATGAATAGCTACAGCTCCCTTGATATCTACCAGGTATCAGAGAGGCATTAGCCAATTTTGAAAAACCAGGCAGAAGATTTTAATCCATATTTTAAGAAGCAGTGATATTTTAAGATTAGTTTGCTAGTGGGTTGATGATCTTCTCCACCAGAACTCCAACCCCACCTTCTCCAGTCTGGCATTATTCTAGGGTTCCTGACCCTTTCTGGCGTGGTGATGTTACAGGTGGATACTGTGGGTTGGGATTGAAGTGGTTGTGGTTGTATGATTTTAGGATTACATAAAATGCTAATGTAGGGAACCAACAGATGTTTGACGCTTTTTCCTTGTCATAGCTTGTAGCTATTTATTTTGATTTTTTTAAATTTATTGATTTTAGAAAGTGAAAGAGGGAGAGAGAGAAACATCTACTTGTTGTTACACTGATGTATGCATTTATTGGTTGCCCTCAACCTTGATGTATCAGGACAACACTCTAACCAGTTGAGCTTAGCCAGCCAGGGCAGCTCATAGCCGTTAAAAAAATTTCTCTACAATATACCACCATTATTATTTTATAGAAGGAAGGTCATTTTTAACATCACAGATGTTAAAAGGGCCATTTCTGCATAAAGGCACCCATAAATTTGGTTTTGTGAAAAACTAGTATTATTTTTGATATGCTTGAAAATCAGTGAGAGACTTCTCTTTAACCTAACCTCTTGGTGTGTCCTGTTCTAAGCTGTCTCATTTTTTCTCTCTTTTTCCTTTTTTCCCCCCTCCATGTCCCCCTACTCACAATACAGACCAGGCAGAGGGCCTGGGCTTGATGTGTATATGGGGTGAAATTACTCTGCCTCCTCTTTCTGTACAGGCTAAGCTGTCTCATTTCTAATGCAAAAAATGTTATAGTGGAAGTAGTTTAAGAGAAAGTATTATGCCTCCTCCCAGCTTTTTCTGTGGGTGCCAAGGATCTACCAAACAAAAAGTACATAAGGAATGTAGAGGGTTTGAAAGGGATACTGCCTTCAAGGAATGACTCTTTAACACGTCAGTGAACCAGGTCTTACTTTTGAAGGATGGCCTTGTTAAAGGTAACTTTGTGTTTGTGTGCTGGTCGTCTGTCAGCAACAATAAAAAATACAGTGAAATTTATTTTCATTGATTATCTGGCATAGAACTTAAAATTTGTAGTGTTGCAGGACAGTTAGCATGTGCTCAGGGATCAGTCTATTCAGGTCTTTCAAAATGGAACACTGCTCTTAGTTATGGCCTCAGTTGTTTGTAGTGTTGTTCTTATATGGCAATTAAAGAAAATAAATCTCTTGCTTTCTTGGAAACCCGCATCCAAGCTTGTGATCTTTTCTGAAGATGAGTGTCTAAACCACTCTTTATTTGGGTAAATTCTTAAGAGTTTTCTGGCTGGATTCTCTATGAAAGGTATCTGGGAGCTGTGAGAGAATTTTATTCTTCAGCATGATGTAGAGCAGCGATTTCTAACTTTTTTTTTCATCTCATGGCACACAAACGTACTCTGCGACACGACAAAAATATATATTTTGCAGATCTGACAAAAATAGGTATAATTTTGATTCATTCACACCTGACGGCTGTTGTCATTTCTTAGTTTGACAATTTAAGGGAAAAAAGGTAAATGCCTCTAAGTAGGTATTGCATTGAGGTTTTAAAAATTCTTGCAGCACACAGTTGAAAATCGCTGATGTCGAGACAAGCCGCATACAAGGAGGTGGTTCAAAATGAAGCTCATTTTGGAGAGTTGCCTCACTGTCGCATCTGCCAGAGGAGTTTGGGTAATTCTGGTGATTGGCTTTTAGTCCTGGCGTGGTGCAGTGTGTGAGGGCGCCAGCAGGTGTGTGGGATGCAGGACGCCTAGCGAGCTGAACCTGCCTGCAGGTGTCTGGCGCCAAAAGTGCAGTTTCCACTTTCTGGCGCACGGTGGCGCTAAGGTCCCCCGGCCCTGCCAGCCGTCTCTAAGGCACCTCTGCCGCCACCTGCAGTCTCAACCAAACTCTAGGTGGCGGGAAGTGACGGTCGGAGCGTCCAATCGTCCACCAGGCTTTCGGGTACGGTACAGCTATAACCAATAGGAGCTGAGGAGAGGCGCGGAGGAGGCGGGCCCCGCGGCAAGCCTGGCAGAGGCGCGAGGCCGTCCTCCCGCCTCTCCGCCTACTCCATCCTCTGCCGCCTCAGCTTCCCGAGCGAGCCCTGCGGCCGCCGGAGCAGCTCCCGCGGTGGAGCAGGAGCCGGATGGTCAGAGGAGCCCGGCAGCCCCAGCAGCCGCGGAGTCGCCTGGCCCCCAGGTGGGGCGGGGACTGGGTTGGGGTTGGGGATGGGGCGCGGGAGCGGGCCGAGGGATAGCGGCTTGGGGCCGTGAAGCATTCGGGGCGCAGAGGCTGGAAGGAGGGTTTAGGTTGGACGGATTCGGGGGCTGCCTAGGGCGGCGGGGCGGGATGGGTGACAATCGCATCCTCGAGGCAGGATGGGCATGGGCGGGAGGGGGCGCCAAGGGGTGAGGTTGGGGGCACTGGGCCAGGAAGGGTAGGGCGCGCGCTCCCCTTGGAGGGGCCATGGAATGCGGGGGGCGCGGAGCCCGGAGGGGCGGGGCTCCGAGGGGTAGTGCAAGCCCGCCAGGGGGTGGGCACGGGAAAGGGGAGGCTGGAGGGACATACGGGGGTGATGAGGCAGACAATGAGTAGGTGGTGGTGGGTGGTTTTGGGGAGCTGGGCTGTGACGAATTAGAGCTAAGGATGGAGTGAGAGATGAGGAGGTAGAGCAGGGTTTGGACTAAGCAGACAGCAAGAGAACAGTGAGAACCAGCATTCCTTGGCGTTGGTAAATAGGGGAAACAATCTAGGCATCTGGAAGGTCGGGTATGGGTTTAGCGAACCCATAGTCCTAGAGGGTGGTACATTGAGTTATTGACTGGCAGAGTAGGGCCCGGGGATGTGTTCTTGTATGTCACTTTTAGTTATCATCTTATCTGTTTGGTCTACAGACTGACTGGCACAGTGGAGAAACCACCTCGAAAACGGAAAAGCAGGTAAGGCAGAATGCCTTCCTATTTTGATTCGCGTTTTTCCATTTGCTTGCCTACACCTGTGCCGTAGTGCATAATTACACCCTGTCTGTAGGTGAAGCCTTTTACTTACCTCGTTTCTTAACGAATATAACTATCTGCAGGACTTCTTTTTCGGGGGGGGGGGGAGGAGGATAATCTAAGATTATATGGGAGAGATGTGGAAGATTGAGAAATCCTAGTTTTTGACTTTAGCCATAATTTCAGCTTCTTCTCCAGCTCTGTTTAGAAGAGAATGTTTATTGACCATCTACTCTGTGCCACATACTGTGCGCATGTGCTTTGTAGGTGTTATTTTTTGTAATCCATGAAGCACCCTAAGGAAGTATGTACCATTTTCACTATTTGGCAGAAGAGGGAACTGAGGAACAGAGAGGCCAAGAATTTATTCAGGATCACATATCCAGTAAGTGACAGAATCAGGATTTGCTTCCAGGCGGTCTGGCTCCCGAGCTTAAGCTCTTTCCCACTCTACAATGATGCCTCTAATAAACATCCAATTGGAAATAGGTTTTCTTATTGCCTGTTCTTTTTTCACTGTGCATACAGTCTAGTAAACATTTGAATCATAGGGAAATAGAAAAAAGGGCTTACGTCGTCTGCAAACGAGTGAGTTATTTCTCGAGGAAAAAAGAGCCTGTGTCCACTCCACAAGCATTTTTGAGTGCAGTCAGCACCTCAGGTACCATATAGCAATTCTGTGTAGTCATTAGAAGATTCTTTTTTCATAGATGTAGGCTCTGGCCTAGAGAAAGTAAGCCATAATAGCGAGCATGTGACCAGGATTGCTGTTGTGGTCAGTATTTGGTAAGTTACTGATGTTCGTACACAGAAAACCTGGACAGCAGGTAGATGTGAAAATGCTGATTGTGGAGGGGCCAACAGCCAGAGTCCCTTTGTCTCTCGTCAGGCCTGTTCCATGTAATGTAGTAACCGTATATGGGTGTTGAGCACTCAAAATGTGGCTAGCATGATTCAAGAACTGAGGTTTTAATGTTATTGATGATCATTTAAAATCAAACACCAATACGATGTGTTATTGAAAAATGGTTCAGTGTGTTTGGACCAACTTGAGTATGTGAATCTACCTTTTCATCTGTCAATTTTATGAAATTTAAATACAGATCAAATATCTTCAGTGAAAACTCAATGTTCAACATGAGGTGCTCTCTAAGTATAAAACAGATACCAGATTTCAGGTTAGTACAAAAAAAAGAATCTAAAATTTCTCATTAACTAATTTTTATGTTGAGTGCATGCTGGTATAATATTTTAGGTATATTGGATTAAATAAAAGTGTTACTCAAATTATTTTCACTTTTTCTAAATAGCTACTGGAAAATTCACATTTGCATATATGGCTTGCATTGTATTTGTGTTTGACAGCTCTTGTTTAACTCTCCCTACCCCACTGCCAGACTCTTGTAGTAGCCTGACTGGCTTCCTAACCTCAGTTCCGTAATTTATTCACCGTATACTGTGGAAGTTGATCTTGTAATTCTCATGCTTAAGATTTTTCTGTTTTCCTATTGCTTATTGAACATAATTCAGACTTTTAGCCTAATTGTAAAACAGAGACTGCCTTTATTTCACTTCTTCCTATCTTTCTAGCCATAGTTTAGTACTATAGCTATGGAAGTTCTCAATAACGGATCTGTTAAATGTTGGGTATTAAATGACTTAACTTTCTAGTGAACCCTTCATGATGAATTAATTGCTGAATGTAACTCAATGTTCTGTTTGCCGTTCCCAGAACGTATGTTCTCTGTTTGCTCTGGGTTTTTTTCACACTTTTTCCTTTTTTTTTCTTTTTTTCTGGAATACTTCCTTCCCGTTCCTTGGCAAAAGCCCTCCTTTAAGACTTAGCTCAAATGTCACATCCTCTGTGCTGACTTTCCCCACCCTCTCCTTCTCTTTCCTCTGCTCTACCTTATTTGCCCCCCACACTAGCCTTTACAAACACCTAGATATAATGGTTGGGGTTGAATTTGAATTCTAGCTCTGTCAGAGGCAAGGTGAGAGATCACATGCAAGTTAACAAACCTCCCTGAGCCCTAGTTTCCCTGTCTGTGTAATAGAAATAATAATAGTTCAACCCTTACAGAGTTGTCGAATGCCTACTACAGTGCCTGGCACATAGACAATACATAATACATTTTAGATTAAAAAGCACTCATCAAATGCCTTTTATTTTCCACTTCCTTTTAAAATATATATTGTCTAAAGGATTGATAATACAGATATTAAGGCAAAGAAGAAAATGAGGGAAGAATAATGAAATTAAACCAGTGGAAAAGTTGGTGCATAGACTAGAAAGTACTCACTACTTCCTAAAGCTGGGCTCCATATTTGGCTCTGGGTGTCCTAGAGTAAAGCAAAGGCGAAAACAAAGCTCAGCTTCCAGATTCATGGTGCCCATAATGTCTAACACAGGTTGTTCAAGAGAAGCGTCGCTTCTAGTGACTGTTAGGTCTGAGAGACCGCTCTCTCGCTGGTCTCCAGAGTGGGAACTGTGGTTTGGTGGGAAGGAAAATCCCAATGATAAGTGTAGTAGTGAGTTTTTTAAGATTGCTTCTTATAATGCTCCTCATTCCAGATTCAGGTAATGCCAGTGAACAGAACATCCCGCAGAGGGCCAAAGTGATCTGGTTTAGGTATACAGCTCGCCGATGGTTGGGCTCAGCTCAGACATGAAGAGGAATGATTGAGCCACAGGGGCACTTGCTTATCCCCAGCACTTAGAATAGTGCCCGGCCTTTAGAAAACCGTGGACTGAGTGAATGAGTCCTTCTCTGTGAATATTACTCCTTGTAACCAAATTTTGGTAACCATCGGGCAGCAGTGAGCTTAAGTTTATGTTCTTAGTCAAGAATCATGAGGTCGTGTCCTCTGACCGCCTGTCTGATTTAAGTCAGATCTGATGGAGTCAGAATTTTGACCTGAATGGCCAGCCAGCATGCATCGCTTAGAGAGGTCCTGCGGGCAAGACCAAGATTGGTTTCAGAAAACGGTTTTGGGACTGCTCTAAAAATAGAAAACAGAATGGCCATTTATGGCCCTAATGATGGGTTATAGATCCAAAGGATGTCATGACAGTAGCCAGAAATTGTACAGCTGTTACCATCAGTTGCGTACTGTGGCCATAGAAACTCTCAACATTAGGGATATAACTTCCTGGTGAGCTCGTCAAATGAATTAATTGTTGGATGTAGCCTTAAGTATCCCTTAGAGTTGGCCTGCTGTGTAGAGCTGTTGACTGCTACACTGTGTATTCTGTTACATTTTGGAGTATAGTTGCCAAAAGCATGGTTTTTATTTTAGAATAGTTGCTGTTAAGTCACCCTTTTTGATAAACATTTGTTATAGCTGCGTTATCTTTTGACAACCTTCCCAGTACTGATCAAACTATAACACAGTTAAAGAAAAACCAGGATGATTTGAGATAAGCAAGCATCTCATACCTTACTGTTACTCTTTTTTGGCATGTGTCTTTTTTTTCCCCACTAAAACTTTTATTGCCTTGTCTTCCTTTTGTATCCGTAGTACTGATGGGATACTTAATAAAGCTAACGAACTAATAAATGAATTGGTGGCAAGAGGGAGTTAGTGTGGGATGGGGCTTCGGTGGTCATGATGTGACAATATTTAATACTCTTAATAAACTGTACTAGACCGAAAGGAATTTAAAGATTAGTAAATTTTGTCCTAGTGTGGTTTTGGAAAATTCTGAAGACTTTAACATGTCTGTTAATAAAGGTTTGGGTTATGAGTTACAGGATCCTTTCAGAACCTCTTTGGAATAAGACCCATTGGTTTGGGTAGGGTTAACACTAATGAAAACTTTATTGTATGTTCTGACCTGGCCCAGTTGGTTGGGCATCATACCATAAGGTGAAGGGTCACTGGTTCTGTTCCTGGTCAGGGCATGTGCCTGGGTGGCAGGTTGGGTCCCCTGTAGGGCTGCGTACAAGAGGCAACTGACCCATACTTCTCTCTCATGTTGATGTGTCTCTCCCTCTCTTTCTCCCTCCCTTCACCTCTGTCTTTAAAAAAATAAAGAATAAAAAAACTTTATTATATGGTTTGGGTTGTGTGTGTGAGATATATTTAAAGCAAAGGATCCAGGCATTTTGATGGTATATGTAACTTGTTTGAATTATGAAACACACAAATGCTTTTTAGTTCTGGGTACTAGAGATATAGACCTGAGTGAGATTTGACCCCTGCCGGGGAAAAGCTCATATATTTGTGGGGAAGATAGACACAAGGACATGAGACAGTGTAATGACTGTGTATTTCCAAAGGGCTCCTAGTCATTCTGCGTGTTGGTCATGAGGGCGGTTTCCAGAGACACTGCATCGAGGCCCTGGAGGTTTGGAAGGTTATTTGCGGCAGGAGTGTGACTGTTGAAAAGGCCGGGTAGTTCCTGGGTATGGACCGACTAATGACGAGGTCTTAGGTGAGTTGAGTTCAGGATCTGAATCACGGTGGTGTCAGGTGTGGAAAGAGTGGTGTTTTATTTATTTTTTATTTTTTAAGATTTTATTATCTATTTTTAGAGAGAGGGGAAGGGAGGGTGAAAGAAAGAAAAACGTCAGTATGTGTTCGCCTTTCACACGCCCCCACATCGGGAACCCAGCCTGCAACCCAGGCACTTGCCCCAGATTGGAAATCAAACCAGTGACCCCTTGCTTCCCAGTTGGTCCACTGATCCACACCAACCAGGGCAAGAATGGTGTTTTTAAAAGCATGGGCTGTGATGTGTTTTTAGAGCCTAAGAGGTTGTTCTCAACTAGGGGCGATTTTGCCTTCCACAGGGCATTGTGCACTGTCTGGAGACATTTTTAGTTGTTATACCTGGGGGCAGCTAGTGGGTAGAGAGAACAGGGATGTTGCTAAACACCTGTAATACACAGGACAGCTTTGCACATCTAAGAATTTTCCGCTTGTAGCTGTCAGTGATG